CTGATGGGGGTGTCAGCCCACTGCTCCAGCTTGTCTGCTCCTCTTATATTAATATAAAAAAACTTCTCTCTCTCATTTTTCTAAGATTTTAAAATAAAAGGTCTCAAGTGTATCTAGTTTAATGGTTTCTACTGGGTTTTAACCTGCTGAAGCAGGATGGGCAGCAATCACTTGGACCCCATGGACAGAAGGCTATTTCACTCAATCTACCCAACTAATCAACTGTTCAGTATGACAGTAAGTGCCTCTTCACTACATGTCTTCAGGGTTTGTCTCATTTATTTCAATAGGCACAGATGTTAGTGACCCTTAGTGTCATAGTTACTATTTCATTGCTGGCAGTACTATAAATTACACCTATAGCTAAGTGGCTCCTCTTGTTCTGGAACTGAAGAGGTGGACCACTTGATTCGACATCAGTGGAAATCGGCTGAGTGTCGTTGGCTGCTGCGCAGTCGATGCTGACAGCTCCCCAGCTGCACAACCTGACACCAGGGGCTGCTTTGATGTGCTGGTTGTAGAGCCAGGAGAAGCTCTGATCTCAGTGCAGCCCTGGGTATGGCTGGCAACAGAAGCTGAGTCCCAGGTTATAAATATCTTTCATATAACCACTTTTCTAATTCTGCTGGAAAAGTCTACATTTTCCAGTAACGTTCTTAGTCCCTTCAGCATTATCTTCTGATTTACTTCCTTAAGCATAGACTGCATGATGTTAGAGTTGCTAAAATGTAACAGACCAGTTTATTTAGGATATGCTAACAGACAGCTCCAATTTTCCCAATGTCACTTGTAACGAAGCTTCTGGGAGTGAAATGTCTATAAACGTGCAGCAGTGTAGGGCTCTTGCCTCAGTGTGATGAAGTTTTCCCCAGTAGACTGTTGGTTCCAAGAGACTTAATAAAAGATAGATGCCGAACCTCATGTCCTCATAGGAAAAGTTTGGCAGTGGTTTACTTGTGACTTTGGAAAGACAGATAATGTGAAGGAAAGATGAGATGGTTTATGTTAATAGTATCTAAGGGAAGAATCTTCCTACGAAATATTCTTTTACAGAGCTAAAGATTATGTGAATTGCTAAAATTAAACCTCTGCTTTGAGCGTTTTTTCTGTTCTAAATGGTTTGAAACCTTTCCTGTTTCCATAGAAAATAACAGTCTTTTCTCAATTACTTTAATTTTCAAGCCATGAAGAAAGTTACTGAAATGTCTTTTGCTTTGTACAATTTTTGATGGGCTCATGTTGATGTTTTAGAATATTTTCAACAGAAAGGCTAAAGAGTATTCTGTCATTAGGATTTTTGTTCTTTGTTTTGTTGAGGTATTAGGTTTTCTTTTTAACATCAGGTGAGAAGAAATAGGTAAGTAAAAGAAGGGGGGAAGAGTTATTTTCTTACCTACTGAGAAGCAATGTTGCAACGTCGGGAACCACTGCAAGTGGTAATTTCAAAACACTGTCATTCCTCACAGTAGTTGTGGCAAATAACACATTTAATTATCTTGGTCTAATCTTGCTTACTGAGGTAGTAGAACTTCAGACCTGGGAAATTGTTCTTGAGTTTAAATGCCACATCAGTTTCTTTCTTTCTTACATATAGTTATTGAAGAAAAAGCTAAAACTAAATCAGCAACAAAACGTTGTGAGTTTTCAGAAGCTGCCCATCCCCTATCCACTTAATGTTGTGTGGTTTATATTTAGTTACACCTTCTTTTTTTTTTCCCCATTTCATTTGAGGCTTAAAAGTCTAAGAATTTGTTCAGTTGTGATGGCCATTATTTGCAATGATGGTAAAAGATTATAAAAAGTAGGAAATAACAAAGAAATGCTAATTGGTATTGGTGGGAGGACAAATGTATTGAACTAGCATATTCCATATGCCAGAGATTTTGATTCCAGCTTTCTCTGAAAGTAAAATGATAAAGTTAAAAGAGATGTAAGCACCGGTAGTAATGAAAAAAATCTTCAGAGCTTGTGTCTGCTACTTTTCATATAAGGACTTTTCTTACAATGAAATTGCAATTTTATACATTTTTTACTAAGTCTATGGCTACCTGTCTACCTGCAAATTGTAGATCAGTTCTGAAAAGTTTGTGCTAAAGGATAGTTGCTTTCTTGTTTCAGCAAGCGGAGAACATTTTCTTTACGCTTAGCAGTCCATCCAGTGTAGGAGATGTTTGGAATACAGTCAGCGTTCTCTGAAGATGTACAAGTCAGTACCATCTTACTTAAGTTCCTCATGATATCAATTTTTCCTGTGTAAAAATAGTTGTATTTGAAAAACCAAATGGAGTGATTGCTGCTTGGTTTTAGTTGGAATCAATGTGCATTTGAACTGGAACTCTTGAAGGGTTTTTGTAAGACCCACTCAGACTATAACAACAGGTTCCACTTGGGGTTCCTCTTCATGGAAGGGAACTGATGTTGATGTATCTATTTAATATGCTGTATGTTTGCAAGAGATATTCAGCTGATGCTATTTTTAAAGTGCCTATGTATGTGGAAGACTGGACGGCAAAGTGGCAGGCATGTCATATAAATCTTTACATTTCATGCTGGGAAAAGGAACGTTGCTCTTTGCATTTGAACTCAATCCCACCTGCCGGAAAGTTGAAATGTATGGAGAGTCAGGTTTTTATTTAGTATTATCTTGTCCATGGTAAAGTTAAGGACAGGACTACAGTGAAAATGGTGAATTGTCACGTGGAAAGCTGATGTGGTAACTCTGGCACAACTAAAAGACAGAAAACCTAGAGGATGGGGATTTTTTAGTTTTTCCTTTCGGAACAGTTTGTCTTATTCCAGTGTAGCCCCACAGGTACAGCCTCATGCCACCTCCTCAAGCACACAGTGAGACAACGTGTTGGGTGTTTGCTGTGTTCAGGGAGAAGTCTGAAGCCACAGTTACCCTGGCAGGGACGTCCCTTTGGCTCAGGCTCTTCCCTTCCTGCCTGCAGAGGTGTCTTCCCACCTGCAAAGGTGTCTTCCCACCTGCAAAGGAGCCTTCCCACTGAAGACCAGACTGACTGTGTTGGGAAGCTGTGTCAGAAGGACCGTACTAAAAGGCCCACTTAAAAAAGAAAAAAAAAAAGATAAAAAGAAAAGAAAGCCCTATTATTTCTCCAAGTTTCTGCAGGATAGGAGTAAGACAGACTGTTTAACTGAAATGTCCTCAATAGGTTTTTCCCCAAAGGGCTTGATATGGAGCTTCCAGAGGAGAAACTGCATGAATAAATGGTTGGGAATTTTATCCACCAGTCTCTGTAGAATTTTAAATATTTATTCATTGCCGGCTGTACTATTTGCTGTATACTACTAACTGTAACGTCTGTAGTTTTATATCCGGACCTGGAAGTAACTTTTATTTTATAATTTTTTTTTATTTTTATTAGAGTTCCAGTCATCCAAAATCTGATCTGTTCAAGTTAGCTATTGAGCTCAATGAGTAGCAAGTCTAGGAAGGGAATAGTTCATTACGAGCTCATTGTCTGAAACTCTTTCAAATAAATTGCTTGGCAAATATTTATGAGTGAACTATCCCTTTGATTTACTCAACAAAATGTGGATGTTGATCTTGAGCGAGAATTTGAAGATTCTGCTGAAATATTGGTTACACAAGCTATCACTGAAATCAACAACATTATTTCCAAGAAAAGTCAAAGTCCCTAGCACTTTATTTGAGAGCCAAAAATGAACAAGAATCATCTGTGCAGATACAGGGAAGGATTTATTATTTAGTTTCAATTTTGTTTTTTGACAAGGCACAGGCCTTCAATTCATTTTTCTTGTGAACATTAAAGAGTAAGATAACCTCCTTCAAAGAGCTTAAATTGAATATATGTAGATTTCTGAAAAGCATAACAATCTCCAAAACATTTACATTCATTATTAATAAAGGAAAGTGCTTCATGCTTTTGTGATGGCAGTAGGGATTTTGAATATGAGATTTTTCTGAGTTTCTGTGCTTATGTTAGACCATAATATGCTTAATAGTTTTGGCTAATTCTTTAATTTGCTTTAAATTAGCTTCTTATATGAGGATATTTTTCCAATCCTTTACTTTTCGTTTATTGTAGTAAATAACAGTGAAAAATTTTACTTTAATCCCTTTGACACAAGATAACTTCATTGACAGATTGTTTTATAACATTAGGAAGTTTAGTAAAGGGATTAAATTATCCCCTCTAGTAATTGCTGAGGATAACAATACTCTTCTGACCCAGCAGTTCCAAAAGCACGTAATTGAGTCTCCTTGGGCACTGCGCAAGTTTTATATGCTGTCTGTTAATGGTATTTTTGGAATAATTACACTACTGGGTGATAATGCTATGCAATTTTACTTGTCTACTAAGAATCTTTAAATCTTCCAAAGCTCTCCTTTCACTTCTAGAAACCCTTTCTCATTATATTATAACAGAAAGAAGGATAGTATAGAAAACTGAGCAAAGCAGCATTTTGCTTTCCTAGTGTTAGAATAATTTGATTTTAGCTACTGAATTATTGCCTGCCTTATTTATGGTACAGGCAAAACCTGTAATACCTATGCGATAAACAAAAAGGCATTTAAAATTTGTAATAGACTTCAGTTGCACCAACCCTAGTGGTAATCATAGTGGATTTAAGTGGGACCAGATAGAGACTGTCCAGAAGGCTCACAACACTTGCTCTCACAGTGTTGTTACACCTTTTGTCTATCCCCGTCATATTTTGTACATTAAATTCAAATGCTTCTTCCCTGGCAACAATCAGCTCACTTGTAGAATGGAACGGTAGAAAATAAGAGGCAAGAATGTTTCTGACCTGATCAAAAATGTGGGCTAATTACTTGTATAAACCAAATATTATATGATTAATTTAAACCTAAATATAAGTTTGGGGTCTTTTGTATCAAGTATGAAATAACTGGATTTAATGAAAGCCAAGTTGCAGAAGAAGTTTAGAGCCCTGAATTTTGACTTGCATAAAACATAATGGTGTTAATGTTAGTGCAAACATCTGTGTTTTACAGGTGAATCATTCAATTTCCTGCTGGAGCTGCAGCCCAGATTGCAGAAGACTTGAGTTCTTACCAGCAGTTGCAGGGTAGAAGCTTATATTTGCATGTAACTGAGTGCTCTGCTTCCATTTCCCTATCTGTTATGTGCTGCTTCCTAAAAATATTTTTTTTAAAAACTTAGGAACATCAGCTTTTTGTTTATCTTTCTCTACCTGCCTTTCTTTCTGTCTTTCTGTCTGTCTCTCATGAATCTCTACCATCTGTCAGTTGGTAAGGAGCACCATAGGGCCGCTCACCTATAAATGATAAAAGCAGAAATACTTTAGTCCTACTTGGTAACTCTTTGAAAAAATAAATTCATAATGACTTTCAAAAGAAAATTTGTTTTCTGCAGGTAAAAGATATAATTTTTCCCCACTATGTAATTTTTCTTTAATCATAAGAGATTAACTTAAGGCTGATGCATGTAACCTAATATCCCTATCAAAATTGCTATTATTCATTACCTTTTTTTCCATGTGATCAAGACTGAGAGGTAATAGAGGCACAGCATGGTAGTGCTAAGCTGGAAAAAGATCTTACACTGAAAGCAGAAATCTACAGGTAGCAGAAGAATGTTGTTGCTATATATATAAATCAGGTTAGAAGAAAGGTGTACTAGAAGAGTTTAAAATTCCCTTGTCTTGCATCAAGCTTAGTATTTGTTATAATCGATCTTTCTTTAATTCACTGCTGCACTCAGATGAAAATGTCGTGTATTTATTTCTATATCTTGATTCTGTTTAGTTTAGTAAGCCAAATAACTGAAATTCCTATGATTAGTTCTGGTAATAATAAATGTTTTGGTCAAACAAAAATATGACATATGTTAGCAGCATCAAAAAATACCAATTGCATATTATATTCTGTTTTTTCAGTTAAAAAGGGACACTTTGTTCATGTCAAGGCATTTACAAGGTGCTGTGTCATTTCCAAATGCTATTGACTGTGTTGCTCATTTCCTCAGTGTTGCGGTACTGCGCCCATGCCATCTTCTTGTCTAGACAGTAGTAGCCTCCTATGACAGATTTTCAAACAGATTTCGTCTGTGCTCCATTAAAAGGACATAAATATTTACCTGTAATGTCAAGTCTAAATTAAGAATACATTTCTCCTTTCATTATGAATTCAGAGTGTAAAAAAGAAAATATGACAGGCTGATATTTCACCTAGAATTTGTATATTTGTAAGGACGCTGCCTTTCCTCAGGGGTCTTGTGCCCTTTCTTTACCCGTTCTTGCCTGTCTTCCAGGACATTGATGTGATAAGCACTGTGCAGATTTTGAAGAAAAACAGCCACTGTGCCCTCAAACACCTGACAAGCTAATTGCAAAGCTGAGAGACACCTGCTAAATCCCTGAAAATGCCAAGCAAACCAGTGAAGAGTAAACCAGCTGCTTTTAAAAAGGTATGATGACATTCAGCACGCTTCCAACTCACGGGCATTACAATTTAGAGGATGGGAGCTGGAGTCTGGGGGAGTCTTTCCAGTCATGTCATCATGGTCTGATGGAACTCTGGTTAGACTCTTCAGCCCTTAACGCCTCTTGCACTAATGCATTCTGTCGATGGCGCAGTAACAAATAAGTCAAAATCTTTAAGGAGTATATTTGAAGAGAAGTGGTGGTAGATGGCACATGAGTAACCTCCTGTTGGGGAGGAGTGGACAAAGCAAGGAGGGAGGGAAGTTCCCTGTTGCTCTTAATGTCAGCTCCTGTTTTTTCTGCTCGTGTTTCTGTTCTAGAGATCAAGTGCTGTGATAATGAACACAGCAGTTTTGCAGGGCTATTGTAAACATCAGTCCACTAAGTTCTCCTGCTTGTGAATGGGAAAAATTATAAATTATAAGAAATGTTCTTTCTCTTAAGTAATACAACTTTGATAAAGGCTGGGGTAATGATCAAATGCTTACAATCCAGTCAAATATTTTTAGTGAATTCTACTCATTCAAACATTTTTAAGGGAGAAAGCATGCCTCTGGACTCCTATGTGAAGTGTTTCTCAAAGCCTGGCATGTCTCAGAGGAGACTTCTACCTTGCTTTTGCACTTATTGCTTTTAAAAACAAAATTTCCTTTGGCTCCGGTGGTATAAAATCAGTCTGTCAGATTTCCTCCATCAAAACTGTTCTAGATTCATATATTCCTCAACAAATTAACACTAACAAAAAGTTTAGGATTCACAGTACTGGGAATGGGAGAGAGAAAAATAGATGACAAAAAAGGCTAAATTTAACAGGCTTTAGCACATAACATTCCTGTTGAGATAAACACAGATTCTAAATTCAAAACAGTAGAATTTGGCCTAGTGAGACAAATTGATTTCTGATTCTTCTCAGAGAGCAGTGAAATGAGAAATCCAATTTATATTTGCTATATGGCTTTTTCATCAATGTTGGGAGCACAAACCGTTTTTAAAAGTGGACTGCAATTGCCCTTGGCTATATACATTAGTCCTCAAAAGGAAAAAAGATCTGTGTCCCACTTCTAAATTGTTAGTTTCTTGTACTGGCAGAAACAGGTTCATAAAAGCATCAGATTAATTATGTTTAATGACTGAAATGAAGAAGCGCTTGTGCTTATTTACCTGCAGTCTATTTAAATAGAAATACGGCTTCGTAAGTTACAGTTAGTTGCAAGGGACAACATCATGTTGATAAAATTGCAGAAATCTTCTCAAACTCTGTAGTTATAGAAATGTGATCGTAACACGGTAATCTTGTGTATTTTTATGTGCTGGTTTTGGTTGTGTTTGGTTTTGTTGTCTGCTTAATTAACTATTTTTTAACTGTGGATCTTTAAAAATAGGTATATAAAAGTATTTTCTAAGTCAGAAATACCGTTATATTGAAGATTAAATTAAAATAAACCTTCTGCTATTTTTATCAATAATTTTTTTATTAATTGCCATGCTGATCTAAGGAGAAGGAAGGTTGTTGTCAAGATTCCTTGAAGCTATTCCAGAAATTTCAGTATATTTGAGAGTCAACGTGTTGAAGAAATAAATGTTATGACAAAATATTTACAACAGAGTCGTCAGCACAGATGATAGAGCCCTGATAACCTTTACTGTTCCCAGTAAATGACCCATACGCAGTAATGCAAATGAGTGTTCATAGAGGCTTTCTAGTGGAAGAGAAAGATGCAAGTTCCCGCTGTTTGTATTTGGAATGGTCTATTAGTAAGCCTGTGTCGATTCAGAAGTTTCAGGCTGATATTGCCACAAGAAAGTCACCAGTAACACACTGTTTGGCTAGCGCTGACTGCTGATGTGGTTTTCCACAGTCAGAACAGCACCTAGGGGCTAAATGGGTTTTTTAAGCTAATATTACTTAAATGACAAATTTCCAGAGTCCCACACACTTTCGGCATCCCCACGCCTCTTAGCCTTTACTTTATTTCCAGCCTCCCACCACCTTTCAGCCTGTGACTGAAAGAGGGTGGGAGGCTGAAAGGTCATGTGAGACCAGAAATAAGCTAGTCTTAAAGTGGGTGGGAGGCTGAAAAGGGGTAGGAGGCCTAGAAACGAAGTAAAGGCAAAAGTGGGTGGTAGATCAAAATGGGTTTGGAGCTTGCTAATTAAGTAGAGGCCAAAAGGTCTTGAGAGGGTGAGAAGAGGGTGGGAGACCAGAAAAAAATGTAGTGGTAGAAAGGTGTGGGAGGCTGGAAGTTTGTGTGAGGCTGGAAATAAAGTCGAGAAGAAAGGGGGTGGTGGGCCAAAATGTTGCTGGAGTCCCAAAAAAAAATATAGGACAGAAGACAGCAGAGGACAAAAGTAAGTCAGAAGCAGAAAAAAAGTAAAGGCTGAAAGTGGGTTGGTGTCCCCAAAAGGGTAGGCTGCTGTAAATAAACTAGAGGCCAAAGGGTGTTGGAGGCTGTAAACAGAGGCTAAAAGGGGTGGAAGGCCCGGTGTTTGCAGAAATTTGTTTCTGCAAAAACTTTCCTCTGGGTAGTCTCCCAGTGTTGGATGGCAGCTTGTCTTCTTAATTCCTTTTCCTGAATAACTGCATGAAACTAATCTACATTAATTCGTCCACTTGCAACTATTGCTCGCCTTATCCTTCACACTCCTACTTTGGAAGTCATGCTGGAGAAGCCTCTGCTTGCAAACTACTAGTATTTTTATGTCCCTAGAGAAAATTAATTCCACTTACTCTTTAGCTTTGTAATGGACCTGTAGCAGTGGTTTTGATTTTTTGAAAAGGTCTTTAATATATATATATTTTACTAGAGTAGAAGTGATCTTGGCCTTCCTCTAAGCCCAGAAGTTGTGGATCTGAGCAGCCATTGTAAAAACCATGCAACTTGAGCGTGCTAGGAATGGCTGGGATCAGGTTAACTTTCTCCCTAACAGCCCATATGGTGCTGTGTTTTGGATTTGTGGCTAAAAGTGTTTATAAAACACCAGTGTTCTGTGTATTGTTGAACACTGCTTGAACAGTGTCCAGGCTTTTCTTGCACCAGCTGGGGTATCACTGTAGAGATTTGCATGCCATATGTAAGAAAAACAAGATAGTAGACATTATATTAAGTTGCCTTTGACAACACTGGGACTTATTGTATGTTGATGGTGTCAATGCCCTGGACAGAGCCTGTGTCAGCAGTAACCACCACTCAGTGTAGTACTTCTGAGTTATTTCATATCTAAGTTTTAGATTATAATGGATAATCTCTCTTCTGAACTGCAGAAGGGGAAAGGACGAGAATGCAGCTTGGGGCAGGTTGAACATGACTGAAAGCACTGTATCATGAAGCAGATGTACAGAAGGGGACGTTGCCCCTCACATACCCTTTAGCATTTAGTAGTGAAGGTTCTTGCACTGTTGATTCCACCCAAAGAATGAATACTGTTACTAACCTACTATCACTGCCGCTTCATATTAAGCGCACTGATCCCCATTTATTGAATGACTAATGTGTTCTTGAGAGTCCAGAGAAAATGGAATGAGTGACAAACAAGAGGGCATCTCGGGTAGGTGGTATGGATCGGAGGCTCCCTTATGTGTGTGAAAAGGATGAGAGCAGAGGCTGTTTAAGGAAAGTGCACAGAGTTGTCATGATACCTTCCTCTCTGAATTGTTAAGACTCAGAGCATCTGTTCTGAAGGAAGGATGCAGATTTTCCAAATTTAGAAGTCCATATAGAGTACATTTTCCTCTCAATGCTTTCCTGTGGCAGTCAATTTAATTCCAGCTGACAGCAGGAAGAAATGATATGTGCTGAATAAACCTTATTATATGAGAAGTTTTCTCTTTTAATCTGCAATGTCTGCATTTCTGGGAAAAAAACAAAAAGCACAAACAGCCAAATTTAAAATAAACCATAAAATTGTAATGTTTTGCAAGAAGTAATGCCATACGAAAACATTCAGAACCTTCCACACTATATAGAAAGGTGCAGAAAATTAGTTTTATTTTAGACAATTAAAGATGGGCTAATCAGTCCATCTCTAGGTTGTTTTCATTTTTAACCTCTTATTTTCTACTATGGAGAGGACACAAACAAAATATTTTCTTTAATGTTTTTAATGGATGCACAGTAAGCCCCTCAGCTCTACCAGAACTGCCACTTCTATTTAAACAAAAGACAGATTTAAGAAAGAAACAAAGGATAACAGTGACAGTTTTAACTCATTTCCAAGTCATCTTGCTTGTCAAATCAAAAGTGGATCAGTGTTTTCATTTTTAAAATGTGTTAAAAATATGGCAGGCTGGAAGTAAAAATAATCCTTATCCTATGCCCAAGGCGTATTAGCCTCTCCCTTCTTAGGCTCAGAAAACCAGGGAACAGAAATGTAACTAGTTGCCTGCTTTAAACACATGAGCTGTCCACTCAGCATCCTCGGGCAAAAGTAGCTGTACATCTTACATAAGCCCATAAACAGGCCAGGGAGCCATCAAGCTGAAGAGTGGCTAGATAGACACTCTTAAGAACCTGAGAAGTCTTTAAAAGATTTTTCTGTGGCAGCTGTGAACAGCAAGCATGTTCATGGAGACTTTCAAGCAATTTGTAAAGAGAAGAAAGGATCGAGTTAACGATACATGTTATCGCTCAGCTATTTTGACTGGGACGGTCCCTGAAGTAATAGCCAGGCCTGTGCAAAGCAACCATGAAATACAAAAGTGAGTAGAGTGCTGAAGCATTTTCTTTGATCTTCTAGAAGCACATATTTCATGTTTTCTTATATCGAAAGGTCTCTTTCTATGGCAGTTATTTCAGTTGGTTATTCAAGAGGCTTGAGTACTGAGGAGCACAGGGGCATACTGAAAACTGGCTATGTTTTTAGATAGGAACTTGAGAAGTATAAACAACTTTTCAAATAATGTCCATTGTTATTAAACTTACAGCCAAAGGCTGTGCTGATTATTGTCATAATAAATGTACAAAAGCTAATGTCAGAGGTAGAGTTCAGATCAAGGACGAGCACCTTGTTATTGCATGTTTTAACTGGAATAGGCGACCAATGAAGGGAAGAAAGGACTTGCTGGCATAACCATTTTTCTCTTTAATATACGTTTGCTTGGCATGTGATGCTAACACATTATTCTATAAAAATCTCACATGGGACTGACTGGCTCTAAGCCAGCTTGGATTCACAGTACGTCTTTACATGCTTACCTGTTCTTTGAACTTAAAGGTTCTCCTCTTCTGCTGAAGTTGTCATACATCCAGTAAAATCTTATTGCATCTAGAGAAAAGAGTGCAGTGCCTTTTTTTATTTCAAAGGTATTCTTCATTACAAACATGGCTGCCAAACAGAGTGGAATATATTGGCTCGAAGGTAAACATTTAACTCCATTTTATCTCACTTAGACTTTTCTCATTAAGATTCAATATTGATCTTAGCAAAAGTCACCAACTGCTTGTGTTTTGTAGTTTACAGAATTGTAGGGAATAAAGATGGATGGGACTTATTTTTGTCTTTTCTTTTCCACCATTTTGAAGGTATCAAGATTCAACTTGCTGCTGTAAGTCTGTTGTCCCTGAGTTCTGAGAAAACACACCTGCTTCAACTGGAATATTTTTCATGAAAAGTCAATAAAAACCATGCAGTAGAAGCACCAAGAACAGAACCAATTAATACATAACTGTAAGTATTGGAAGTACCTTTGGAGATATGAAATGATAGTAATTTTGTTTGGTAGTGTGGCTTTCTCTTTACTGCTAGGTTACCTTGAGTGATGTTTTAGAGCCTCCTAACTTGAAGTCTTTCTACACTCAAAAGCCATTAACCTGAGTACTTCAGTGACATTTTTCATTTGGATTGGCTGCTACAGGGAAGGCTGAATCTTGAATCAGCACCAACTGTCACCCATTTCCGTGAGTAGCCAAAGGCAGACACTAGTTGAATGCCTTTAATCCTCTACTCTCTCCTCCCCACAAATGACCAGCCATTTCTCTAATGATTAAAGGGGAAAGAGTATATATCAATTTTACTAGAATATAAAGAGAGATGTAGCACTTGAATTGTCATGAGAGTTGTAAATAATTCCCATACTAATGCTGACCTTTATGTCACCTTACTGTATGGCTTTTTACTGAAGTTAACCTTACTGAAGAGAAATACCCTGAGTATCTGGCTTTGGTTAACTGTGTAGTGAAAGGCAATGATATGAAATTACCTCGTTCCAAGGCCAGGCACTGAAAGAAAATCTACTGTACTACACATTTTTAAGTATTCATTTAGGAAAAGTGGTATCCTCAGACCTTAAAACAGATATTCAGCTTTCAGAAAATTGTGTTTAAAACCCTATCTAATGGCAAAGCTTGCAATAAAAGGAAAGATGTGTTAGATTAGACCTTTGCTGATGCAATACCATATTTTGTTAGCTATTGTTTCCTTAAATTCAGCCAAAAGCTGTTGATCTATATTAATTAGCTGTAACTACATCCTTAATACTCCATACCATATACACATTTTTATGCAGCTCAAAGATCTGTAATAGTTTTCAGGCCTGCAGTGCAGTTCTGTAGTAGGTTTCTTTATGAATTTTCTTTCATTTGTGAAAATGAAACCCAGTAAAAGCATGACTAAAAATAACTAGTTTTTCCCATCTAGGTCTTAGTATGTGGATTCTATTTTATAGCAGTTTTCTAATGCTACAGTTTAAACATTCATTTTCTTTTTTCTACTATTCTCTCTCTCAAATAAACAAGTGGAATAGAAATGAGCCTAAACCAACCACACAGTAAATTAAAGCCAACAATAATGGAAACTGAAGCTGAAGCACATTCCAGGTATTTCTCCTCATTGATTTACAGCTCATCACTCAGCTCTGTCTACCTGAAAGGAGGTTGTAGAGAGGTGGGGGTCGATCTCTCCTCCCAAGTCACAGGCGACAGGACTAGAGGAAATGGTCTGAAGTTACACCAGGGGAGGTTCAGGCTGGATATTAGGAAAAATTTTTTCACCAAAAGGGTTATCAGACATTGGAATGGGCTGCCCAGGGAGGTGGTTGAGGCACCATCCCTGGAAGTGTTCAAAAGACGAGTTGATGTGGTGCTGGGAGATATGGTTTAGTGATGGTGTTGCTTTTTGTTGTTGTGTGGGTCTGCTTCTAAGCCTTAATGTACAAGTCACTATCAGAGCAATGTGTGATTAATTTTGGAGTGAACAGTTTCCGTTGCAATATTCAATAGAAACAGCTCCTAGGAACCTATGACTTTTTCCATACATGCAGCATATTCGGAGACTGTATTGGGACAATACCTTAATGCCCTTTTGCAGACAGTGTAAAAATAGCTTTAATTACTCTATTGAACATCTAGATGCTGTGACAAGGGTTCTTATAGATATATAGAGAGACAGCATATAACTTTAGATTGTGAAGGAAATATTCTAGTGAAAGGAAATATCTGTCCCTACCCAACTCACAAAGACTACGAAGAAAAATCAAGATATGAAAAACAAAGAAAAAATTATCAGATGTAAACACTAGTTGCTTTCCTTATCCTTTGAAGAAAGAAAAAAAAATTATATCCTTCAAGCTAAGTTCAACAGAAACAAGGTACAGAGTGTGTATAAGTGATAATCATCCTCTCTGTTCCCTGTTGTTTCTTGTTGCTTTGGACCGAGCACTTTCACTTTGGCTTCCATTCTTTAGGACCTCTGCTCTATTTTAGGATCCTAGAGGCCTCCAGTAATGTGTTTGCAAAGCTAGAAACAAAACAGAGACACCAGAGGGGAGTAAGGATTTTGACTAGAGTTTTATTTAGAAAGACAATATGGATTGTATTAAGGTAAGGGAAGGGCCATATAATTAGAAAGATGCTGCTTGCCTGGGACCTCAGCAAACTTCAGCAATTGCAGTGATGGTGGTCTGACCTTAGAGGGGAACTAAAGAAATATCTTATTTGTTTTATGATTGAATGCCCAGCACCTTCTTCTCATTAACAGTAATTGTGTTTCTCAATTATGCTTATATACTTTTCTTGGGTTTGCAATATCTCATTAGTTGACTTTTGTTTGCTTTAATTATTAAGAAGTAGCTTTGAAATGGAATGTCCTCTTTGCAAATGTGACCTTACATGGGTATGAGCTAGAAACTACTGCTATCTGAACTGTCATTTACCACCACAACAGGAACTCTGCCTGCTGGGTTCTGTAATTCAGGAAGCAGAAACTTTCCAGACACAAAATTTGAGTTGAGCAATGGCTCATTCAGGTTCCCAGCTATATAATTTGCAACATATAAGTGCATATTTCTGTGTAAAAAGAAAAAAACAGAAGGAAAAATGGATAAAATTAAATGGAGTAGAAATGAAACATTTCAATAAATGTTTTTCTTTTTATATTACCAGATTTTATTTGCTTATGGCTGTTCAATAGTGGATAAAAAACATACCCAAATAACAACAGACTGTAAAAAATTGCGAAGTCTTAGTGTTTTGTTAACTGCTTTATAGTTGCAGTATATTTGTGTAGAGGTCAACTTTATTCAAACCAGAAGTACTAAATTTCATGGCTATGTAAGCAGAAAAAAGTACTTCTTAATAGATAAAAATAAATTTTGCTCCTAACATACACAATATCTTTAACTTACTCTAAGTTCCAAAACTCAGTGATTATAAGAAGATTGCAATAGTTTCAAACAGGGCTTCAGTGAACCCATATAATTCACAGTGAGGAGAGTTCTGACAAGCCAGCAGTAAATTCCTTTGATTTAGAATAATTTTTTGTTGTTTGGGGTTTTTTTGGCTTTTAAGGAGTAAAAGAAATTGATCTCTTCAATTATCATCCATGTAAAATTGTTACACAGGTTCTGAGTTTATTATCATAGCACTGAAATAAGTGGGACTGTAAAGCTAAGCAAAGACACAGCTCATGTTTTCATGGTTTCTTGAGTCAGGTCTCCGCTATGAATGGAACAATTCTTCTAAAACAAAACCTTTCTCACTGAGATCAGATAAAAATTATTATAAGACTTGCATTAATAACTTTTTGCACCATGCCACAAACAGATGAAACATACAGGCCTTCAGATCAACACTGTAGCCAAACACCATGATTCATGGTAGAAGACCAGATAACCCACAAAATCTATCCTAAAAATAAAATAAAAGAAATAACTGCATCTTTTCTGTTTGCATGTTACAAGAGACCTTTAAAAAACATTTTAACTAAGTATAATTAAAATATTCTTAGTGACAGTTCATTAAAACTAATTTTGTCTAGTAACATAAAATATTGTGAAACTATTAATGCAGATATTAGTGGCAAATTTAAAGGAAAATCAGATAAAATATGCATCACACTTACAGATAAATAATCTTTCAGAACTCTTATTCCAGGATATTATCACATCTGCAGCTTAAATTAATTTCTGTTGCTACAGAAACATATTTTTGTGTGGCACTGCGTGAATCATAAAGCTGTGTGTTTTACATGTGTATTAAGCTGTGAATCTCATTGACATTGACTTCACTCAAATATTGCCACAAGAGATAATAGTACAAGTCCTGTGAGTTTCCTTATACATAATGCAATTTGCTTAATATACACAGATTAAGGACCTGATCATCCAGGTATTTTAATGCAAGAGTAGTCTCATTTGAAGCAAGCAGGACAATCTAAATTGTTTAAATAAAGCAAAGTACTTAATAGCTGAAATTGTGACCTAAAATAGGAATCTGGAGATAGATCTGAAACTGCAGACTTAAACCTCTGTTATACCACCAGAATTTGCCTTAATTTGGAATTAACATTGCTATTTGAATCTCACAATTTCTATCTGCCTTTTTTTTTTTTTTTTGGATAGTTGGTACTGGTGTTGCTATGCATATTTTAAAATGCAAATCAAAATCAAATTTTAGGTAGAGGAAATGCCAGCTCAGCACCTGTCTCCTAGTGCCAACTGCACAGAGCCCTGGGGAAAGGGCAAAGCGAAGACCCACTGGTCATGCAGAGGAATTAGAGCTGCAGAACATATGGTTTCTGTTTATATTACTTTCCTACAAAATTGCAGATTACTTTCAGAGGGTAAGTGATGCAAATATTACAAATTTTTGTCCCTCAGAGTCCCTAGAATGGACAAGTTATAAAATGAAAACTTCCTAAAAAATGGTATATTTGTAGAAGGAGATACCGCAATAGGATAGATTATGGTTTCAATCTGAAATTTAATCTTGGTTTTAATCTGAAAAATAAAAAAGGAATCTTTCCTGCCCCATAAATCTGCCTGAAATGCTGCTGTGAAGTCCTACTTATCTTTAAGTTTTCCTTTTTCTATAGCCTCATTTGGAGCATATCTTCTCTGGGAAATCAGTGGAGAACCACCATATGAACCTCCAGTGTTTATGCAGTGCATTTTAAGCTCGCTTAGACATGGATGAACCCAATTGGGCACTAGGGACCCTTCATGAAAGACAAATGAAAATGCTCATGAAATCCATACAGAATAGCTGATGTACTTTTTTTTTTTTTCATTTCACAGTTTATTTACATTATCTTTTATCCCAGTACTTGTCTCTGCACATCAAGAGTTCCCAAGATGGTACAGTGGGAAGCATAATTCCCACTTGTTTGGATTGTTGATTTCTTTAAAAAAAATATTTTTCTTTCCAGCACATCATGAGAGAATCAGTCAGACTCCAATGTGGTGTTCAATGCAACGATGCCCTCATATCGACGCTGAATGTATGCAGCTCTCAAAATCCTTAAAAAACAGAAGTGCACTGTTCCATTCTGGAGGAACATTTTCTGTGACTGGGAAGTCTTGGCATGTGGTAAGTACTTCAAGCCTGGTTTTCCCTGGGCAAGTTCCCCTGCTGTGACCTTTCCTTCCATTCCCAAACCATGTCTCATGTGAAGATGTGACCTCAGTAGATAAGGCAATTATTTTTTTAATCATTTTTAGAGTGCCTCTAATGGTGCAGCCATGATGCTACATTGATACTCATTTTCTGAGGATTTAAAACTTCATTACCACTGATACAGCACCAGAGCAACCATCAAATTCACTTAGTGAATATTCTGCTTCTGGGAAAACTATGAATTCCTTTTAGGTTTTTTTGAGTATTTGTAAGCATGCTGAGATTCAGTAATCCCAGATCCTGTATGTTTTGTACAAATACTGCCATTTTATTATTCAGAATTGATGGTGGTTTTGAAAAAAAAAAAAAATCCAGAAAATGAAAATAGCAGTGAGGCCAGTCAGCTGAGCCACTGATTAAATCTGTGTTTAGATACAGCAAGATATCCTTTTAATTTTGTAATAATTTGGTAAGGAAATTGACAATCAATATTAAAGCATACTGTAGAACATATGGCCATCAGGCTCCAGCATATGGCTGAGCCCTGACTTTACCCTATTAGCCATCTATCCAGAGGCTAAATCAGGGCTGGAGTAATTTGCCATGCTCAGTGTTGAAGAGTTTGCAACCCAGACCAGATCTCTTTATGTCATTCTGCAGTTGTTGAGCTGAAGTTTATCTCCTTCCTGAGCCGTGCTACAATTAGCAGCTGTTCTAATAGGGAACACTGCTGGTTAGGGAAGAAGCAGAGCTCTACCTAGCCGAATGTGCAGAGGTTGTCAGGAAGCAGAATTTATTCTGAAGCCCATGAAAGAAACATCATTTTGTTTTCTAGAGATTACTTAGGAAACACATTTGACAATTTTCTGAAAGGAAGAAATGCAAATGGGGAGTTGAATCATCTCAGATTTTAAAAAATTTGAAACTTATGAAAGCATAAATGTAACTGATAGTTCTGGTTCATTTGCACAACTATTCCTGAAAAAATTAAGTGTACACAGACTTCTCTTTCCCCAAAACAAATAGGCTGGAGCTGAGAGTTTCAAAAAAACACATTTAACTTCAACCCTGCTATTCTATCCTTATCTGTTTGTAAATGAGAAATAGCTGTTGAGCTATCTTTAAAAAACAATGTCTTCACTCATCCCAAACTCATCAGATCAGTCTTAGACATTGAAGGCATTTGTAAGGGAGAGTAATTGGTCACAGCTGAGGAGTACAGACTCTTTTTGTAGTTGTAATATTGCTATGTGTGCTCAGGGTATCAATTTCCTCTGGTTAAAGCACAAAATACAGCCTATTTAGCTATTAGCGCTATTGTAACAAGAAACATATAAAGGCCACCATTCTTACCTCAGGTGAAAGTCCTCATTCTGTATTTCCTAAAAACCTTTTTTGTTCAAATAGAGACAAAACTGAATAGAACAATAAGTGGGAACATTTGTTTTATGAATATATTAAAAAAACTAAAATAGGAAGTTTAAGGCAAGCAAACGAGAAGAAAGCATTCCTGTCAAAGCACCTTTTGTGGGCTTGCAAATGCAAGCTTATTCAGCTATTTCTTCTCCAATTAAATATATGAAGTTTCCATAGCAACAGCCATTTTGTAAGATGCATATATTTCATGATGTTCCAGATAGTGAGCAGCTAACTAAAGGAGAAATGCCATAACACAGGACTTCTTAGAGTACTTTCTAGGGAAAGAAGCATTACCTACTGCCACAGAGCAACAATTTTCCTGACAGTAAAGTTAATTTTAAAAGTTTGGGTTTTGTTGGGTTTTTTTTTTCTTTTTAAGAATATGCATTACCTTCTTAATTTTTGTTCTGCTGTGTTGTGTGATGAGACATGACTTTTAGAAGAGAATTTTACCCCTAAAATTAAAATTAAATTTAATTTTATATTTTTGCGAGTCATGATGTTACAAAGCTAAATGTGCAGCAGGTCGAAGTCCTTTTCCAGTCACTGAAGTCACTGCAGAGATACCAGGTTATACGAGCTGAGGCTCTGCAGTCAATCTGTTGTCAACACACTTGTAAAAGCAGTTGAAAAATATAGTTGTAGCACAGCTGTTTGTCACAGCTCAGTAAATGCTGTGCCAGGGGAAGAATGCAACAGCTACCCAGAAAAGATTTAAACACTTATTTGGGTAATTATGTTTGTCGTCAGTCATATGAGGACTAAATGCTATGCCTTTTCTACACAGTGCTTATGCATAACTGGCATAGCAGATAGCAGACAGCAGTAAGAGTAGAGTTGATCCAAGCCCCACAGTTACGGGGAGATGGGTTTTGACACAAACCTTGGTACTATATCTGTATTTATAATTCAAACTCCACGCAATATTTTATCATAGATTCACAAAATAGTTTGCGTTGGATTGGAAGGTTCATCTAGTCCTTTGTGAGAGCCTGACCCTCTAAATCTAGTGGCAATATAACTCCTGATACCGATCTGCAGCAGTGTAGAGAGGGAACACTAGAGCATGGATTTTGGTTAGCTTTTCTGCAGGCAGTTTTCTTTGACAGTCTTTTCTCCAAATGCTCTACAGCATTAGGTTGATGTATGCTGCAATATGCAGTTTGTCTTCCAGATTCCTCCAAACAGCTGCATTTTACCTTTTAGAGTTTCTGAACACGACATGGGGAAGTACACCCAGTGGTAGGGAACTATTAGTGCTGCTCTTCAAGGCCCTTTTGAAACATTGGTGCTCGCCATGCATTCCTGACCAGCTGTGTTAGAGAGCAATGGGTATAAACTGAAACAAGTGAAGAAAAGTGTTTCTGAGATGACCAGGAAAGTGAGAGCTGATTTGGCAGGAAGATTGTGATAAGCTTAGCTTGTGTAGCCTGCCAAAACAGAAGCTAGGGGAGGACAGGCTTGCTTGCTAAAAATATTAGATACATGGCAGGCTGAGGGAATGGCTGCTTAAGCGGGAGGGCAATGCTGAGCACAGAAGCACATTTTTAAAAGCAGAATATAAGTGCATCTGGAAGGAAAACTGGAATTAGAATTCAAGGTTACCATAAATCTGAGTCTCTGGAGATGCTTTCCAGCAGGAATATCAGATTAAAAAAAAAATCTGATTAGCTTTAAGGTGCAGCTGGCTAAACTGATGACAAGTGCCAGAAGGTAAAAGAATGAAAAATTTTTGTTGATAAAGAGATAATGTAAACTCTGTGCTATGTTACCTTTCAGTGTCTACAAAAGCAGCCTTATCCTTTTTCTCCTGGTGCTGGGTGATCAGGGTAGCTTTGGAAGGTCACCCTTACTGCCAGGGTGAAGCTAATGTTAAGGTGCTGTTATCAGCAGTTTTTTGCATGTGTGTGAAGTTGCTTTAGAAGCGGACAGAATCGGTGCCCGCACCGTTGGGGTATGAAGCAGCCACTGCTGGATGCATGCCTCGATGTGTCTGCAAAAAGGGACTTTCCTTGGAGCTGAACCCTCCACTGCATTTTTATTCTCACACAACAAACCATGAGGTCCTGCACATTTTTTTTCCCCCTCATACTATTAATTTTTCTCATAGACAGCCCAGGTAGCAGCCTTGATTGTTCAATTGTAGTAGCTCAGTGTATTTCTCTGTGGTACATCGTGTTCTCCGTAATAATGTTATGTCCTTTTTCCTCTCCTGCATGGACTACAGGCCATCTTCTGCTCTATTTTGACTACAACTTCAGCAACAAAGTTTAACCAGGGAGAGACCTGTTTAGCATCGGTAAGACAACTGAAGCACAACTTTCTTTGAAATGAAGCAATTTAAAATGTGTCTTCCCTAGGGGAGCTCTGTTATTTTATTTTTTCCTTAAGTTCATTTGAGGTTTGTTTTTCTTTGTCTCAGCATGACAGTTTGTGTGCTAATCCTATCAGCCAGGTCCCATAAATTCCAACAAGTACATACCACACCTGAAAATGCCAAGTATGCCAAGTGCTGTGAGTGATATTTCTGTTGGAATTCGTGCTTCACACAACTAACCAGCTAAATACAGGGGATTCAAACAGAGGATTAAAGTGTCCTTTCTGCCAGGAATTGCCACAGGCACTTGTATTAACTGGATTATTAATCTCCCTGAAGTACTTAATAGCTAAATAGGGTTTTCTATGTTTTCAGATATAGTATTCTCAAAGTGTGTGTGTATATCAGATTTTCCAAAGGGCACATAAAATATCACCAAAGCATTTCCATTAAGGACCCCCAGGGTGTTAATCCAGCTCTTTGAGAGGCTGAAAATCTCTGGCAATGAGCATAACACAAGCCACTTCCCAACTTCTGGAACTTCATTTTCTTTTTTCTCCTTCACTGCATGTTGGGGCTGAGGGTGAGGGACAAGCAATAGTCTGGTCTCAGACAGCTCAGGATGAAGTTGTGGACCTCACACTTTCTCCTGGCTGGAGAAAGACCTTGCTATTAACAGCACTTTACTCCTGAGAAAGGAAGCAAGCCTGAGCTGGCTGGCAGGAGGCACCCAGCTAATCTCTAGCTCTTAAAGCTTTTGGCTTACTGAAATTCTAGCATGTGGTAGTATTTTATAGAGACAGGGTTCTTCTTTGATAGTTTCAATAACATTTTATGCATCCTTCTTTTCTTCAGAAGCCCTGAACTTTCAGATATTCTTGAGGGAATTTTCTGCTTGAGTAATACCTTTAATCTTAAATTATGCCCACTGTTCTTTTTTCTACCCTGCTCCTTCAGTGCTTGGAAAAATGAAATACCATTAAACGTCTCCCCAGTATTTAGGATATTTGGACATGACATGTAGGTTCTGACTAATTTTTGCTTCATGGTACTTCTAGTCTGTGATTACATCTTTCTTTCTAAGAAGGAGCCTGTTTGTTACTTTGGCAAATGTGTCAGTGCAGAAGAGTGGAGGTTTCTTGAACTTCTAAATTCATCTTAATTCAGTACCATACAGCAAGATTACTTGACATAAGGATCATTTAATAACACAGCAGGTTGTAGAGCAAACTACAGGTCAGAAGTGTCAGATGAATTTAGACAACTAGAAACCGTGGTCGTTTTCTCTAGAGAAAATTGCATTAGCCAACTCTCTTCCTGAATCAGTTGTGATGCTAAAATTCTTTAACGTTAACTGTAACCATGGCAATTTTTATGGCCTTACAGGGTACTACTCTTGCTCTTACAGGGTACTACTCTTGCTGTGTTTTGTAAACGAATGAAATTTAACATGTTTGGATCACATTAATTTTACAATTACATAGACTAAATAAAAAGACACTCCTTTAAAGCATAAAATTATGTTACTGTAATTTGTAACACGACCAACTGCTCTGAGCCTGTTCCTGTGTACTGTCAGTCTATGTATGGGAACAATAGCTTCATAAAAGAATGATAGATCTGAGTATTTCGAGTTCAGAGAATGGGTGCACACTTTTTCTAGGCTCATAGCATAATAAATTCCATACCACATTTCACTGAGAATGCATTGTTAGCAAAAAATATGCAATTGCTGTTGCAGTCTTTTACCTTGGTATTATTGCCCTTCAGCTTGGTCATTTATGACAACTGGCTCAAAAGTGGAGTCCTGTTAGCAAGTGTTAACAGATGGGCCCTATTTCACCATCCTTGCCTCTCCTCAGTAATCCAAGCTAAACCAAAGGCATGTTCCCTTATACATATACTGTGTCTTTATTGTTAGCTTGATCTTTACATGAGTTCCACCACCCTCTACTGTGCCAAAGCCTTTGTGGAAAACAACTGTTCTTACTTGATTATCACTTCAGTACAGCTTTATTCCATAGTTTGTGCTACAACTGAGAGAATACTAAATCAAAGTTTTGACTTTTAACATAACTCAGTCAGTTTAGACAAATCAGTACTCTGCCAGGTCTGGAATAGCCCCTTCTTAAGGTGTGGTTTATGGGCATCTTAAAAATAATAGCGTTCTTCAGCTTAAACATTGTAAAGTTGGGTCCACAACTTGTAAAGACCATGAGCAGAAGACATGAGTGGTGGGGTGGGTACCACATACTTGGATTGTATACGGAGAATTATCTACAGTTATATCTGTGTTGGTTTTGTGATATTGTTTTTCCATTTTCCTAACCCAGCTATTGATTACATGAATGTTATTTTAATGGTCATCTTCAAAACAACAAAATAACCATTAACTATATTTGTGTTAGTCTTTATTATTTATGATGAGTTTCTACAACCCTTACCTTTAAAAGTGATTTATTTATTCAAAAAAATACTTTTAGTGATCTTTGGGCTACCTGAGACATTAGACAGCTTTATCTGTAACTACAATATAAAAAAGAGTGGCACTAGCCAGTAAATTCACATCTAGATGAAGACAATTTTTTAAGGATTCCTGCAACACTCATCGTAAAGGAACCTTGGCCTACCTTTGCAATGCTTCCTCATCTGGGTTTCCTTTATGGAATATACTTACTCACCAGTTTGCAAAACTTGAGTAAGGGCTCTAGGATCTGGATTTTTAACCATGGAAGCTGCCTTATTTATAGCCTTGTTGCTTCTTCAAATTGTTGAAAGAGTTGTTACAATGACAAATATACCCATTCTGTAACTATTAACATTTAGGTTAAAGAAAGCAGCCTGCAGAGCCACCTGTTCTGTTGATGCTATCTGATCGGCAATACGTTGCGTACAAGCTGTGTCAGACAACATGTACGTGATTTAGAAAGATTTGCACAACGTAGTCAGAATTTTGACAGGATTTCCAGCTGTCCAGAAGCATATATCTAATAATCTCAGAGTGTCTTTAAAAGCAGAAAGGCAGTTTATCGCTACTGAAACCCACTCGCACAGCAGAATCACTTGTGCAGGAGGTCACAGCTCCCAAAGTCAGCATAACAGCACTTCCATTTCTAAATGAAACTAATAAACTTTCCATATTTTTACTTTACCAGGAACGATTTTTGAGCAAATACACGATCCTCCATCCTTGTGCTTTTGTTCTGCTCAGACACTGTGGGAAAGAACAAGGGAACGCTATCAAGCTTTACTTTCTGAAGGTCTCATCTGCATGGTGAGGAGTGACCTGTTACCAAACCCATTAAGATTTACTCATATGGAGAACTGAAATTCTAAACAGGAAGAAAACTATGGCAAAGAAAGTGCAGCAGTGGGGTTGTACTAGGCACACAAGGATGTTTCGCTTCGAAAGGCAGGTCATGCAAGGTAATTGAGAGTATGAATGGACACAGAACAGCTTAGAGTCAAATTTGATTAGTGCAAAGGCTGTCAATAAACAAGATCTGAGGACAGGAAAAGGAGGAGAATTAACATGAGGAAACAAAGTCTTCTTAAATAAACAGAAAGGTATGGTATTGTGAGCAAAATGAAGCAATAATCAAATCAATGCTTTTAGAAAAAGTTCTCGTGATTATTAAATACACAGCATAAATCACATGTGACAGGAGTCCCTTCTGGACCCACAATCTCTGCTATAATTTCTCATTAATACCATCTTAGATTATTTACTTTTCCAGTAATATTATTAGAAACAACAGTAAAAACAATAACATACAGCCTCAGGGTCGGTGCAGGACTCAGACCTTTAAAGATATTTGTTTGAAGCACTTTTAATTACTGTCATAGTATTTGCACCCCTTTCAGCTAACCAAAGTTATAAGAATATTACTTTTATCTTTCTAGCTGTGGTTTGGTCACCTTCTGGCAGATTCAACTTCTTGTAGACAAAGTAAAGAAGGTTTGATCTCTCCATCTCCTGCAATCCTGTTTCTTTGGGCTAAAACTCCAACATTCCATGCATTATGAAAAAGGTGTGCCTCTGCCTATATCTTGCCTCCCTGTTGCTTTTTTTGTTTTTTTAACTTCACAAGTTATCAGCTACAACCCCAACTTGTCAATAAAAATGCACTCAGTAAGCTGAATCATAACGAAATCTATAGGATATTATAAATAAGCATAGATCTAGGCAAATACTGTATCAGGATTTCAATCCAGCAACTCGAGATTATGAACCTCCAGGGCTCTCACTTAATTAAGCGGAATAAAATAAAATAAAAGGTTATATGTTGTTGCACTACTTTGAATCTATGTAAGACAAGCTTCCTAAATTGCTGCTAGTAACTGGCCCAGCTCTCAGTCCCACCCAGGCAATTTCTCAGAGATCAGTGCAGTCAGGAGCATCAGAATTAGGAAATCAGAAGGAAACAATTCAGGCTGTTGCAGTTGTCCTTAACATTTTGTGATGCAATTCCATGTTTTGCCACACTTAATTTTATTATTGCATAACCATTTCTTTTGTGCACCTAGACCTCTGGAACAACACTGGAATTTTTGCAAACAACTACCAAAGATGTCATGCTTGCTTCAAACTGCTTGTAGGTGAAACAACAGCTGGATGAGAAGTACAGTAAACAGGTAAGTAATGGAGAGATTATCCTTTATGTAATAAGCAATACTCACAGCCAAGTGAGTGCTTTGTTAAAGGAAGAGCAGTGGTGCTTTACAACAAATGTTCCTTTGTATTGCAAACTCCAGCCAGTCTTCTGTGTCAACAAGACCTATTTCCTCTGCCTTGGGACAGAAGCCGAATGACATGTGAGCTAGCAGATACACGGGGTAAGACAAGGTTGGCTTTATTTTGCTCTGACAGTGATTTTTACCAATTTCTTGCCTGGGTCAATATATATCCTCAGTTTTATTGTTGGATCTCAATGCTTTCTCTTCTGCACTAAGGAACAGTTTGACCTGTTAGCTTCCCCCTTCAATAGATGTTTATGTGAAAACCTCAAAATACTAGCTGCACAGCATTCTGAGATAAAATATCCTCTCCATGAAAAAAGAGGTATAATAATTAGACCTGATAAAGCCTAATCAGTTCCAGTACCAGCGACATCAGTTTTGGTATGCATCCTATTCTCTGTGAAGCCTTCTCCTTATCTGGATCTTGTTTTATCTGGCTGCAGACTGACCTAATTTTGGTTTGTAAGTAGAAAGAAGAAAAAGGGAGTAAAGTGATTGTGCCGGTGATAACTTGCAATCCGTGCCTGATTAGCCAGTCCTTTGGAGTTGTTACTGTTGTAGATAAGGAAGAATATTGTAGGTAATGGAGCAGGGTTTTGTGCTCCTGTGGTTTTTTGGTTTGTTTGATGCAAGTTGAATGCTGGTCCCTTCATACCTGAAGTCCATCTACAGTCTGTCTGTCCCAGTGGGGAGAAGTGACAGTGCAAAGATCTGTTTTTAACATTGTTTTGTAATTCATTAAAGGTGAGAAATGGAGCCTCTAGGAATGAAATCATTCTGAAGCTAAATATGCTCCAGCACTTTAGAAACTGGTCCCTTAGGGTTTGAATGTTAGCCAAAAGAGAACAAGCATTTGTTTTTACGTTGATTTCATAGATTCCCAGAAAAAATAAAACAAATAAGTTCTTTCTTTCTGCATCATGATTCTTCAAAGAAGAAAATATCCATGTCATTTGTACCAATATTGCCTGATTGCCTATTGAGGTGGTATGATATTCAGTAATTGCCCTTGTCTCTATGCTGCCGAGTAATTAAAATCATCTTTCTTTATTGATGGATGGTTCAAGGCCTGAGAAAAATATCATTGTGCTACATCTGAGTTTTTTATAAATAAATTACAGAAAGTGGGCAAATGATAATGATTCTTACAATAATTACATCAATTAAAATAATGAAACACTGTGGGAGCTTCATCTCTAAAGTTCTTCTTTTGGGTCCTGAAGGAATTCACCCCAGGTCTAAGGCTCTTTCAAAATGGTCTACATAAAGTTGAAACATGGTAGGGTTTCAAGGCAGTTATACAACAGTAGTTTGGTATTTAACTGCTCTCTTCTATTAGATCCTGTTGTTAAATGCACTTTATATGAGGAGCGTTCTTCATAACTCATACACATAGTGGTATTAAAACAAAACCAGCAGATTTAAAAAAGAAAAAAGGAAAGACATCCCTTCAGTGTTATTTCTAATTTATTCACTGGTATGTCATTACTTTTTGAAAGAAAGCACAAGGATCTCAGCTGAATTTTTAATAGCAGAATAGTTATGGTTCTCCACAGATTAAAAAGAAGGTTTATGAAATTAAGTTTAACAGGAGATACTGGCTAGACGTTAGTAGCATTCCTGTGTGTGCAAATCTGAATCAAAATCTTAGAGCATTTCAAAGCTACTGTCATGCAATTCATGGGATGTTAAAACCTAACAACCATAACCCACAACCTACTCCTAATCCAATTCTTAACCAAGGGCTAATGAGCATTTAGGTGCCCAAGAGGAAATGCTCTATCCTGGGCTACAAAGGCAGCAACCTCAAACCAAGCCAGACCAAGTAACTTGCTCAGGCAGAGGTCGTTAACTGTAATAATGAACCCCTGTAGTGTATATATAGAGGTAATATATACGCTATAGTAATGATCCCCTGAGGAAAAATGAGGGTGTTGGATGCTCTGCAGCCGTAAGATCTGCTCCACAAAGCCCTGCAACTCATCTGTTATTACATGCATTAAGTCTTGATTTCATGACAGTCAGGCAACTGGCCCTATCAGGCTTCCAAAGCGGGGTGCAAAGGTGGATTATGCCACTTGTAAAAATAACCTCTGACTTTGAAGAGACCACCGGAAATATATCACCTTTACTTCTGCAGGATAAAATCCTAACCTTTAGCCAAGCTCTAACATGGTTTTTCACCTGAGGCCACTAACAATGTGACTCTCAAAAGTTAATATACTGACCTGAACCACTAACTAAATTTTTAACGGAGTATTAACTGGAATCTGGAAATCTATGTTCAGCAAATGAGGTTTGTATTGAATAAAATGGCTGACATGGAAGTAGCATGAATTTCTTAGTGAGTTTGCTTTAAATGTGCCTTAGGATCTCAGTAACATAAATCACAGCACTTCTATTATTTAATTTTTAATCTCAGCTCTTAATAGCTGCATAATTCACTGCTGCTTTTAATTACCATTTATATCTCCAACAACAACAAAAAAATAGACTCAGAGAAAAAAGAATTAAACATCAGAACCTGGTTTTGATTTAGAAATATAATATTAAAATAGAAATGTTGCTTCTAGCTATACTGTTTGAATTATACATTAACTCATTTCATCTTGTTTCTGTGGTGCTATTTTGGATTATTTTTTCAATCGTTGATTTACATTTAATGTGCAAGCTGAAATTCCAGTTTTCATATTCAAAGATATTAGGTCAGTTTATAATTCATTAGTTCATCAAAGTAAACATCATAGTCTACCAAAAGTGCTTTGTGTTGTATTGGCTGCTCACTGACTAGAAAGTGCCATAGGGACAGTGAATCAGAACATTTCCAAAGGGGTTGCAGAAATCTAAGATTCAGAAAAGCAAATGTAAACCCTACTGCACTGTGGGTGACAGTCAGCCAGAAGGCATGTCAAAATCCAAACAGCCTCTTGAGGCAAATATGCATGCTGTTAATTATGCCATTTCAGTTTATACGAAGAAGTAAACTCATAATAATAATGCTTGGTCAGTAATTCATTTTTTCCTGATCTGAACTGCAGCTGATGTGTCTTGCATTGCTATAGGATCTGGACTGCATTGGAAAAATTCTTGATCCACTTCAGTGTGAGTACAGCCAAGACAAATTGTTCACTGCAGAGGAACAACTTGATTTAAACTTCCCATTTCTTTAAGTCTAGTAATGATACACCTGCTTTCAGTTCACCCTTTTATATTTTACAAGTAGGGAGAGGCAAGGAGGAGTTGCCATTTAATTTGTTGTCACAACTAGATTTCCCTCCACCCTGTCTCCCTGCTTTCCTGCTCTGGAGCTGGCTGGAAACCAGCAAGGAGAATGGGGAGGGAAGGAAGGCCACCCCACGCACCCACAGGAGTCCCTAGGGCAAGAACACCTGAGCACCATTTCCACCCAGTCTGCATCAGCCCTCCCTTGCAATGCTGACTGCAGTTGTCTTTGGATCAGACTGTCAGCAGAGACTAAACACCACTGCTAGGTCAGGAGTTAATCATGATGGATTAATTAATTAGAAATTAAACTTCTGTCATCACCCTTCCTTCCTTCCCATCAGAACTTCTTCTTTATTCATTTGCAAAAGAGTTCTGCCCAGGCACAGCAGAGCAGAATGCAGACATGTAGCTTGCATGACTACAGTGAGAAGTAGATGTGGGTATCTATGTATATAGACAAAGACATATGTTTTTAAATATATGTATATACATAGCTATATATACACTGAATAGATGTCACTATAAATAAATACTGTAAGGAAATTCAATGTTTGCATATAAATTTTAAATCACAAGCTCTTGCTTTCCAGAAACTAAAACAACAGCTTTTCTGTCAAATTCAGAGGAAAAAGTACAAGAAAAAATGAGGATTTATCGCCATCTGGAGGGTGAGTGTGTCCTTTACCTGCTCATAGTTGTCATTCTGGGCTCCACATTACAGGGTGTGTATGGTGTCCTCAAGGAGAAGGGTTTCAACTTAGATGCATGAAGTTTCTGATATTGGGGCTATCATTAGGGGTAATTTGAACCATCTAATAGAGTAGTTATGCTTTTTGTCAGTCTTTGGACCAGGATAAACAATTCTAAAGCCTGGATGGTTAGCTGTTTACTATTGTACTCTGCAGATCACATATCTGTACCTTCAGAAGAAACTCCTGTATTGTCTTGCTTAAGGGAGGAGACAGGAGGGATGGCATTGGCAGTGGAGGGGGTCAGAATTCAATGCTTCTTTTCAGCTTTTTTCCTTTAAATTTGGGTTGCAGTTTTAGGAGTCTTCTAGGGGTTACACTTAGAGAGTTTTGAAGGGAGCTCAACTTCAAAACAGAAAATTAATGCTAAAATTGGACCCTTTTTATTCACCCTGAAGAGTTATGAAAACCAAAAATAAAATTCAGTCAAAGCCATTAAGTATCCTCCCTCAGGCTGACAACTCTTCCCCTTCCTCCCCACTGCCAGGGAACTCACAGGAGAAGAAATGGTCCCTGCAGTAGAAATGACCCAAGCATGAGGTCAAATATTCTTTGGAGTATACAAGCATGGTCATCCCAGCATGGGCTGCACACGATGCACTTATCTTCCAACTGTATATTTACAGGGATCTCAGCGGTGCTGCCCTGCAAGTGCATCAGGATGCTGCAGCAATGGCATTACTGCGGTCTCCAGAATGTCTGTAAGGGACACAGCCCTCATCGTGCTGCTCTCCCCACAGCTTTTTCTGTTCCTCTGGCACCCAATGAAGATCTGCCATGAGGATGGTTTCACTGAGCACCAGGGACCACCGGTGAAGACCTGTAGACATCCTCTCTTTACCAGGTATGAAATGGGGATTTTTAGTTGAGGAGGCTCTTTAATAGAGGCAATACCAGAAAAACTTGTAAAAAAACACGGTACACCTTGAGCCTTTCCCAGTCAAGGAAAGAAATTACTGCCATTTCCCAAAGCAGGCGTTAGGCTTTGTAGGGCTGCCAAAACTGTCACCAGGTACCACTGACCCAGCAAGAAACATGTTAGTAGAAGCACTCAGTCATGCACATCAGACAGGTACACCTGGAAGAGCCAGTGCTGTCTTGCCAGGGGCTCAAAGCAAATATCCACGGCTGGGGACAGATAACTCATATAGAGAAGCAGAGCATAGCATAAATAATGCTGCCTATCAGCTATGCATAGAGGAAGAGAAAGGAGAGAGAAGATGAGCAGTGGCTTTGCAGCTGTGCACCCCTCTGCCTCTCGCCCCAGTGAGGAAGGCACACCTGGCCAGTGGTCTACTGGAACCAGGCCGCTGTGGTGGGTCAGAGACTCCGAGTCCGTGGGGTCAGGGTGAACAGCAGGCGCCGCAGGGTGTTGCAGTGATATGCATCAGTCAGAGCATTAAGGTGCATGGTAATTTATTTTGTCAGGCTCCCAACCCTCCCACCTGAGCAAAGTCCTGCCTCAAAACCACCAAACGCGTAGTGCAGTTCTACGTGATTGCTGGTCTCCTGTGCCACTGCATGGCCACATGTAGAAATGCAGGTCTGAGGAGTAAGCATCTTTTGTGTTCTTTCCCTGTGACAATCACCAGGAAAAATAAATAGAATGAAGCAGGCCGTGACAGTGACAGCAAAATGATGTGCACGCACAACTTAAAATGAACTATAAAAATTTCTAAGCACACATGTGCTCAAGTGTATGTGTGAGTCTTCCCATTATAATCTTACTGTTGACCATGATACGCTCTTGCTTAGGGAAATGAGACTTTTAACCTAAATCTCTTCATAAGGAGTAGTAATTTTTTTCCTTATCACTATTGAAACCTTTATTTTATTTATTTTTGTGTCTGGACAGATGGCAACCGTTCCTAAATATGTCTTTACAGTACTAAAATAATAATTTAAGAATAATGTTAGCTGAAGATAATACTACATAAAGCAATATTACATATTGTTGCATTTTATTTCCCCAGAAAAGAGATGCCAACAGCTGCAGGACAGTAGCTGAAGCATGTGTTAACCTAGTCATTGCAAGGGGGCAGCCAGCCACAAAAGGTGCTTCCCTGCAATTATTGTACTTCTCTAGGAAATAATCTGAATACTTTTATCTGAATACTTTTTTTTTTTTTTACTACAGAACACAACTAATGATGGCCCTGTAATTGGGACTGGGAAGAAAATTGGAACTGGGAAGACCCTACTAGGAAGAAAACCAGCAAAATTATGAGCTGCGTGCTGCAGTTGATAAGGTAACGCCGATAATGATGGCACAAATGACCTTCCAATGTAGCTGACAATGATGGCAATGAAAATAAAATACACCACTCTGTGCAGAAAACTTGGGTTGGAGAGAAAAAGTGACAAAAAAGTGGGAGGAAGACTAAATCTTTTTCTTTACATTATGCCTTCATGTTCCTATTCTCACATTTGGTTTTGTTTTCTCTCTTTTTTCCAGCTCTTAATTGGCAACAGTTCACTAGCATATGTGTTGTAGTTCAGCATGTAAGTTACCTCACAGAATTCAAAGGGACTCTTGTGGCACCTGCTTTAGTTGCTTGCTAAGAAAAGCCATTAGCACTGTCTTTTAACTGGTTCCCTGTTTTGCTAGCTTTCTCTAGGGTCATAGGTTTCTGCCACTGACTGCTCTTCCAACAGTTCTCATTTAACTAAGACAGTATATTTTAAATTAACAGTGTATCTATGGTGGCGTCTTAAGACAATTATTTGTGCAGTGATATTCCACAGTGTGAGAACTTACTGTTGTCTGTCTCACGTTGGCTGCCCTTTGCTTTCACCCTTGAAGCTTTTTTCTACGCCATGAGGAAAGCAGAGGTTTCCTGTGGGCATAGGGGTTGCCTCTTCTATTTTTTCTAACCAGAGAGCAACCATGAGCAAGAAAAGGGTGTTCACTCTCTCTCCCATGGGTAGTGCCCGCACTCATGTGTTCAGCTGGTGCAGATAGCTAAGGACTCAGTCAAAATTTTCTATAAACAGGTCCAGATCTTAGATCAAATTCTCTCACCAGCAAATAGAATACCACAAGATTCTTCCTTTTTCTGCTTGCCCACTGCCCTCTCTGTTTGACTACCACTAGGTCAACTCCTAACCAAGATGCTCAGTTTAATCTCTTGAGCTCAATGGCCACTCAGCAGACATCATGCTATAAATAAGAATATTAATTCCCATTCTCCCAGCCTGAAGCACATACTGAGAATACAATCTAGCTCAAGCATAGTAGTGCTCAACAAAAATAATTGTCTTGTATTTGTTAGTATCAATACAGAAATTTTCAGATAGCCATATAGATGTTGTGTAGAAAAAATTTCCCTGAAAAAGATTATAGCTGGAATGAAGAAGTGCCCACACAGGATATATTCACAGCTATCTTCCCAGTTGCAGTGAGTACCTGTAGTGAATATGGCTTGAGTTTTACTGCCCTTTCTCTTTGCTGTGAATGATGGTAGCAAAACCACTGGTCAGTATCAGGGCAAATATCAGTATGGTGGGCAAAGTAGCTGCTGAAATTATGGTCAGTTTGTAGAGAGTTTAAAAGTATACAACTGAGACAAATTCATCAGGCAAATAAATAATTAACACATCAGAGAATGATGCAAGAAGAAATTCTTGGCAGGAAAGGGTCTGTAAGGAATCCGAGGGTTTCACTTCACAGGGTTGTCCCCTGTAGCTGTTTGCCTTTATGGAACCACAAGTTTCTCAACAAGGGTCTCCCACAGGGGAAAAAAAATCTTCCTTTTGTAACCGACCTCAAAATAATTCAAGCTGTCTGCCAGTAATTAAATCCATTATATTAGCAACAGGTGGTGAAGCTGTAATTTTTTCACATCTGTTATCATTTTCATGAGTCAGTATGTATTCATTGCAAGAGCTGTGTAAACCACAGAGCAGAGAGAGCTGGGCTGATGGCTGTCATCCAGCCAGCCACTGTGCTCACTCCTGTAGTTATCTGAAGAGCAGAGCAGAGGGGATGTGAGAATATGTGGCAGGCAGGAAGGGGTTTGGGCAGGATCCCAAAGGGTAGGAAGGCGGGAATTTAAAAGAGAGTGAGATTTCATAGGTTCTTATTAGACTGATAGAGGAAGGGAAGAATAAGAAAGAATGAGGAAACTTGGGTTGGGTTTAGAGTGTTACCTTGATATCTGTTTCAATTCCCTGAGGTATACTGAGGTTCTTTGTGGCCTGGAGCATGTTTCTTGGCCACCCTGGTTCAGTAAATTTACAAATTAAAATTCCTGGGAAATTTCATAGTTGCTGAGGACAACAGGTATAGAATAGCTCACATGTGTGTTACTGAATTTCTCTCTGTCTCCAAAACACAATGCGTTTGTGCAAACTGGTTGTTGGGAATGGTGTACCATGGTGAAGGGGGCTCTGTAAGTTCTGAGATGAATTCTGGATGTCGAAGAGCTTGCTGGGACAGAAAGCTTTATTTACTGCAAAAAACATGTGGAATGGCCACAGTTCTGGGTTGATCTGTACTACAGCTGGTCATATATGTCACTTTTACATTGGCATTCTGTTGCCGAGATGTGTTGCGTCCTTGTATCAGCTTTGGAGAGCTTTGGAGAGCTGCCGAGATATGCTGTGTCCTTGTATCAGCTTTGGAGAGCAGCTGCAGCTCATTTTGCAGTGCTTCAGGATGTTGGACTTCCCAAGAACATTTTCCATGTCTTTTCCACCTTCCTCCAAACCCCACTTCTCCTTTGACTCAGAGGAGAGAAGTTCTGTAATTTCACAGAGCAGTCTTTTCCTGTTCTGAATACTGAGAATATGTATGGAGAGAGGAGGGAAATTCACAATCAATTTACTTCACTATCAATAGTGACACAAGGTTTCAATTTAGGTTTAGGACATGCTGCCTTTCCTTAAAGAATGGTTTTTTTCTCCCATAACTCCTTGCATGGCAATATTGAGGATACTTATTATTGTGTTGAGCTACTGTTTTGTGATTAATAACTTATTGTTCACTTAAGGAATCTTTAAAAAAAAACAAACCAAAACTGTTTAGAACAAAAAGTATATAACATCGAATTATTTTGGGGGGAATTTTTTTAACTGTGTCTTGTTCCATGACAATGAATAGATTACCGTAATTCTTTCCAAAGAATCATCATTTAACTCTGCCAAACTTTGAACCAACAAAACTTTGCAGGTTGGTTAATGTTAATGACTGTCATTAAGCTGAGGTTACTTGACTGAGTTCCATTGTGAGGGGCAGGGTCTACCCAACAGGTCGTGGCCTTGTTGGAAACTCTCCTGTGGTCAGGGCTGCACATCCATCAATTCCTACCTGCATCCTGGTGGAGATGTGTCACTGGAGACTCCCATGTGGTCAAAAGCCCTTCAGGGACCATGTCTTTTTCTCAAGGAACATAATTAAACAAACACCAGAAATTAATAACCTTTAAACTGTCTAAACCTCAAAACAACTATTGTGGAGTTCTATCTAGAGATAGAAATGGGTGAGACCCAGTCAGTCCAGGCATCCTTTCTGCCCTCCTCCTTCTCCATTTCATATCATCCTTAATTTTGCCTGATCTTGGAGCTGGGCTTGCAGGATATTGTTATACTTGTAGAGGACGGCCGAGGCACCGTCACAGTCTCGTCTGAACTTGAGAGGCCTCACTGTGCAAAAAAATTCTCATATCTGTTCTCCTTCTGTTCAGCTCCCTTGGATACACCAACAACTCAGCCAGCCTCTGCCATCACTGCAGTCAAACTCACAACTCAGCCATTGTTGCCCAAAGGCATCCAAGGTCTCCACGAACTCCAGAGCATCACCCCAGCTCCTGGTGTGTCATCTCTAGCAGTGGCTCACACTGACTCGTCTTCCAGGGCTGAAGCAAGGCCTCCAAGCATCCTCCTACTGTTATTCCAAGCGGAAAATGAGCAGGAGAAAGGTGGGACTGCCTAATGCCAATTCTTCTCTTTTCCAAAAACTGGATAACTAGCCCTTAATTTGTGGGACAGTATTTGCTCACAGGAAGCCTAAGTCATGATTCAATACCATTTTTCACTGAAATCATTAGCTTCAGAGTTTCATGTGATTGACATTTCATGCCATTGACTGATACAGGGAGTCTCTAGTTTTGCAAGGGAATGAACCAAACAGATTCAATGTTTTTTGGGGAAGGGTAATTTATTTGCGAAGTTAGCAGTGTTATTTGATTATTTGTTTTCAAGGGTCATGTGGTGGAGGCAGTCTTCCTGGGAAATCATTAGATGTATTTCAGTGATTCAGTGAATGCTGACTAGAGCACTGTTTGATTTATCTGAATCCTTTGCAAATCCTTCCCTCTATGAACATTTCAGCAGTTTCCTTCCTTTGTAAATTCCTGGTAGTTATGTGTTACTCAGGACGATTGTATGAAAATGGTTTCAAACACAATGATTACATATTGAGCAGATGAGCTGTCTCGGGTTTATGTCACGGCCCATCTGCCTGCTTTAAGTAGGCTTCCTGCATCGTGCCACTTCCTCTTCATTGGGTAGATGGTAAAAAAAAAAACTGCTTGCATGTAGCATCTTCATTCCGTTTGACCTTTCCAGAGTGTTATTTCACATACATACCTCAAAGCTGGCATTTCCTTTTGCAAATAAAATTTGAAACTCATTGTATTTTGGCAGCAGGTGCCGTTACAACAAAAGCTGTTCCTTCTTTATCCCACTACCTTTAGTGTGGAGGCTGAAGTACAACATGTCAGCCAGAGATGCTGCAGTCTGAGGTAAGTTCAGGACACATATTCTGGATCCCACAGAGATCTGAATTGGAGTGGAAGTGGGAAGTGTGTATGTCTTGGTCCTATGTTCAGCACTGAAGGACATATATTCTTGAATTTGGATTGGGATCAGACTAAAAGTTAAAATTGAGTTTGATCTAGACACTGTATCAGGCTCCCATCCACTGTGAGTACTCAAAATGAAAATATTTTCTCTACAGGTTTTATATTATAGTCCCTCATAGTTACGGTAGTCTGGATGAATACATTGCATCATGATGAACCAGCCACAAGGTGTCAATATAGTGTAGCAGATTCTTAGTAGGGTTTTGCTACTACAGCATCACTTGGCTGTTAATTCAATTAAAACCTGCTTTCTGGTGAGTTGTTTGAATAGCTATTTGCAAAAATTAAGAGCTGATCATATCTTCTGTATGTGATTTATTTAATCAATTAAGTCTTTTCATGCTAAGGGGTGGGGGAGGGATTAGTATAAATGACTGAAGTAAAAAATGTGACAAAACACAATCTACAAATCCTGTAGCATCGTGTTTTAGAAGGAAAGGCTTACAAAGTGGGATGTTATACTAGTGGGGGTGAATCAATTGTTGTCAAAATATGAGAAGTGACCATAAGCAAGAAACACAATGTATGAATTAATTAACTCTTCACAGCAAGGAGTCAAAATATGTAGATGAACTGGTGCCTGTGCTCATTTATAAGAGGCATAATGACTGGTGAGACAAAGGTGGAAAAGCAATATTAAAGAGTTTAATTTTGTTTCTTTTAGACAGATCTTTGTGTGTCATTAAATACAAAAACAAATGCCTCAAAAGAGTAAGAGCTAAAGCTGAGGTCTGAATTACAAAGGACATGGAAGCAATTTGGTTTTGTACCCCATCAGGGGGTTAGGATCTAGGGAAAAAGGGCCTATTAGAAATGAGAATGAAAGGTTGTTAGAAAAATGACTCCTAGAATTGTGAATATTATCTCTTTGAAGTATGCATTAATGGGTTTTGGCTAAGAATTTTCAAAGGGGTTAAGGACTTAGCTCCCATTGAATGTCAGTGGCTTTTGGACACTTCACTGGTATAGTCTGCTTTGAAAATCCCAGCTTAGAATATTAATTTTAATGTATCTTTTCCACTGCAGTAGAAGAGAGCTGATCCATGACACAGATGAACAGAGACACTACAAAAGAAAGTAAGTTTCTTTGTATTACAGTCTTTCTTTATAAAATATTGTACTTTACTTTACCTAATCTACTCAGTCAAGTACAAAAGTATATATAATAGGTGGCTGAGCAGAGGATATTACATTACATGACATCCTTCACTTGTGTTAATGACTCCGTATTGTGTTTTGCACAAAGTGGAGAGCAGTGGATAGCAGATAATACCATTAAAAATATATATTATTGGCTACATTTCTTAAAAGGACAAAGGGAAGATAGAGCCTGTTTATGCAAAGAGCTGGTTTTCTCAGGTTCTAAATGAGCTGTGACAACATGTCGTCCTTTGGGAGATATTTTATTGGGCAACAGATCAGTGTTGGAGGTCAAAAGAGCAACAGCAATAGATGCATCATGTTCCCTGGAGCTCCCTGGGGGCAGATTGGGACAATAGTTAGAAAACTGCAAAGTCTGTGGGAATAAAACACTTGCTGTTATTGTGCTTCTCTCTTTTGTGTTTCTTTTTCATATCATATATCTTAATGAGAGAAGGACCCATACACGATACTGGTGGGATGGTGAATAAAATGGTACAGGACAGCTTTAAGCTCTTCAGAATGAAAATATATTGAAAAGGTGGGTTTGCATATCAACAATGGCAACTAAAATTGATGGAAAAGCCAGCAGAGAAATAGCACTGCTATTCCCACTTCAGACCTCACTGTCAGAGACTTGATCTTCAAGTGGAGATGAGAAAATATCCTTGCTCCACTTTAGTGGTTTAGTGAAACTGTGGGTTTTAAATACTCTTTTTGTTTTAAGGAAAACAAGTCTGAGCATTTTCTGTCTTGGAATAAGCTGGGCACACACTAAAACAAGTTACCTGTGATGTGGTGGTATTAAATTTATCATACAGTGTTTGGGTTTTGGTTTTTTTAATTGCTGTTATGCTGAAGACAAGATAAATAGGTGTGTTCTTAGCAGGATTTAAGTAAAGAATTGAGGTTGACTGGCAGCTCATTTTAGGAATGGGAGAATGAACGTTAAAAAAACCCCACATACAGAAGATGGAATGTAAGAGACTTCTAGTGAATACATGATTTCCAACAGAAGTTTGTCACTTCCAGATTTTCACCATCACTACTGGTGTAAACAACAAAAGGGCTTTTTTAACTAAGAAATTTCAGGTGTACAATTGCCGAGCATAATTAGTTACTGTGACTAGACTGCTAATTACTAGACAGGAGCCCGAATCAAAGGCTTAGATCTGTACAAAACCAATGAATTCGTCTCGTGACAGATGCACAGGTTTCACTGTGTGTATCCTAGTCAACCTGTCACCAACCCCATCTGTTCTATCTGCCTCTGAAAAATGAACAACACTCAGCACATAGCACCGCTTGTTTGAGTTTTACTAGTTTTATCCAGCCTGGACTAAGGAAGCCCTTTTGTGAGATGATAAGGCTGAGTTTCCTTCTCTTACAGTAACGCTGTAATATGCCCAGGACACAGAAACTCTGTTACCTGAGCATCAGTAAGGGGTTTACAACACCAGAGAAGTACATGAGAACAGTTCTTGACATAAAGAACCTGAGAATCTAGTGGTGTGCCTTAATTACCATTTGTATCCAACCTAGTTTGCTTCCTGCCAGCTTGAGGCATGGATAAAATTTTCTCGTGTTTGTTTACAAAAAAGATTTATCCTGCAGGATGTTGATCAGTCTCCTCCAGATCCTCCAGGGCTGCTCGGTATGTTCTTATTGTTACTACGTCAGCATTAGTAGTTTTATTACTATTACGCCTGGGAGCTATTTCCTGGAAAATTATTTTATTTTCTTGGCTGTGAACAGAAAGTTTGAGTTCCTGCCACATTGCATTTACTGTCTCAGAGATAACACATGGGTCCATGCAGCTGGGGAACCACATGGAAATCACGAGCCAACATTTGATCAGCATGGATAGCAACCTACCAGCCCTAGTGCAAGGGCAAGCTTAACTGCTATCAAACCTCTGGTAGGGAAAGCAGAGCTTTAGGGAAGGATTGGAGGGAAGATGTTGTTATGGCTTTGTTGCTTCATTGAGTCACAGCAGCCATATGGAAGCAAAGCACAAGGATACCTGTGAGAAAACGTAACAGCTAAGCAGAAAGCACACTGGATCTACCATCCATGAGGTGTGTTGGTGCTTTGCTGCCTCAGGACCCAGGTCTTTTGCATTTTGAAGTAACAGACTTTCTATTGAAACAATAGATTATGAAGTGGAGAATGTCCCAACTTCTGTGTCCTCTGCTACTACAGATACTAACTTTGTGCCTATTAGTGTTTAACAGAAGTCAACAATGAGAAAATCATTTAACTTCCACCATAACTAGCCACTCCAGACTTCAAATTATCCTGGGCTTCTCCCAGCTTGGAGTGTTTGTCCTAAGAATGTGCTGTCTCAAAGCAAGCCACCCACTTTAAATTCAGTAGGCTGCATTTTTTCACAGATTTTAATGTTTTGGCAGGTCAGCCAAACACAGATTAGATGTGAGTGGCACTATTCACTGTGTGAATCACAGAAGGAAATTTATAAGTACGCTGTCTTCACGCACGCTTCTGCTTAATGATGTTACCCAAATTGTAACCTTAAGATCTCAGAGGCTTTCTTCCAGACTTTGTGTCTGTCAGCATCTACAGACAAACTTCATGAGAGAGGGGCTGCTTATGATTTCTGTCTGTTCATACTCCTTCACAGATACTTTCTACAATGCCTGACTGAAACCTTCATTTATAATTTCAGTGTGGTGTAGTCTTTAGCGAGACCTGTGAATCATTCCCGTGTCTACTGTTGTAAAGGTAAGTAAACATAAAATCAGAACTAGGGAATGAGTATTTGCTGTTTGTTGGCTACCAACACAGCCTTTGATAGCATTGGGTATGGCATAATTCCTTTCAAATTAGCAAGGGGACTGTGAAGGTAACTCAAAGACTTCTTTAATTTGGCTATGTTACAAATAGTTCACTTACTTTTTTCCTCTTAGCCTGAGGTTCTTCCAAGGCGTATTCTGAGTACCAACAGTTAGAAGTCATTATTCCTTAGTTTCCTTGCTTACAAATTCCATTTTTCTCGGTTTTCCTTCTTCTTCCTGTTAAAAAAGTCTTTGCTTCAAGAAGCCTGAATCCCCAGTGCCTTGCTGCTAGTGCAGCCATTGCTGGCTGTGCAGCACAGATCTGAAGCATTATCATTTGGCCAGTCTTGCAGCTCCTGCCAGTCACGTATCACTGAAGCATGTAGGGATGCAAGTCAGTGTATGTAGGCGGGATATAGGCCAAGATGTTGCTGGAAAGGGTAGGAGAGTTCTAACTGGTGCTGCCTCCCTGCCTCTATGTACACTGGGAATAGAGGAGACAGGGATAAAAAACATTTTTATAGTTATCTGCAATAATATATATATAATATATATATATTAAAGTTTTGAAGGAAACTCATTTTGAAATTCTTGCTACAGTTTGGAACAAACAGCTGGTGAAAGTTAGGGAGAATAGCTCTTTGCAAGTGCTTTTGGAACACAGCACTTCCTTTGCAACATGCTGGTTGTACTGCAGGAACACAGCACTGTGACCTGAGCGCATACCACCTTGACCTCATGACCATAAGAAAAGTCATCAAAAGTTGTTGTTCCTGAAAGCATCGTTCAGAACACTGCCAGACTTGGTGTCATTGACCATGAGTCACAAATCTGATAATGCAATTTAAGATATTGAATCATATCCTCAACTTGTGATTCATTACGGGATTTAAATGCCACAAATGGTGTTCTGGACTCTATTCCAATATATATGTGTTCAGATACCCTTCCAAAATAAGCAAGTGACTAAGAGCCATAAATTCAGCTCACCTCAACCACTAATAGTGCCCAGAAAGATTATGCTTTAGCTTTTCTGGCAAGGGCAAGGCAATAAACATTCCAGTACGTACTGCCCCCCCTCAGATCGCCTTGCTATTTCACTCTGAGGATGCCAAAACTAAATTTTCAGCATTTCCAAGGAGGTTAATTCTGTTTCAGGCAAAGACAGGTAAAGTGACCTTACAGCTTTCATTAACCAGTGTGGTAAGACTCCATTTCTTGAGACACAGCCTGTAGATAATTGTGTTTGTGGTAAAGGATATGGGAGAACGCAAGTGATCTGCCCCACATCTGCTCTGAAGGGAGCGTGCAGCACCTGAAGAAAGAGGATTTCAGAGCAGATCTGACAGAGCACACTGCTTATGCACACGGTCAATGTACTGCCTTCATCTCCTGGGAGTAAAATACTGTTTTCTGGAAAGCGAACATTGCCTGTCAGATGCAATGTCTCTTCCAGAGCAATATTTTTCTAAGTTTTCTTTATCGGTGCACACCAACACACACTATCTCCCATCAGGAAGTCATTCATGGTTTGGAGTTGGTAGAACCATAATTTTGAATGGACCATTCAACAACTTTTGGGCCTGTGTTCAACAATAGATAAACTAAAAATCATGCCTTGTTGAGTCTGCCACTGTCACTGAATACCATCTGCTGCATAAACTATTGTACCTACTCCATGCGGTTCCTGTGAGCTGTGTTGTTTCTATTTAAACTTGTTTATTTTCTATAGACTCTCTGAGCACTGTATGCCCTCAGGACATAGATTCCCACATTGCTGTTTCCTCTTTTAACAGTTCCAGTAATGGCTCCCAATTACTCAGCCTTGCATACAGATGTGGAATGCAAGCATTCAGCTAATTTCAGCAAGTCATTTTGACGGATGACCCATTTATCAAACAGCAAACAAGCAGAAGGTCCAAATGCTAAAGGTGGACACTCACATCAGAAATGAGGTCTCCTGTACACACCAAGTCACAAAGAACATTTATAAGCTGGGGAGAAGATACTACTTGAGATCAGAAACTCACACTTCTTAACACATACTACTCCAACTGTGATAGCTGCAGAGTGGCTTTAAGTGGCCTCAGCACTGTTGTATTATAATAACATGGGGGTTTTTTTAGAATTGGAAATTGACCTATACTGACATAGAAAGATTTGGTAGATGAAATCTGAGCAAAATTGTATGGGATTTTATTGTGAAGCCACAAAATATTCTTGGTAAAAGAAGATTTTTTTTCTATGACTACTATTTGTAATTTGTTCTGTGCATCTGTTTACATCACTGTGTTATATTAATTGGTTATTAATGCAGTAGTTGATATAAAGAGCCAAATCTGCTAGATGTGAATGTGACTAAAGACTAGACCTCGAAGCTGCAGCTACTCCTCCTCTTACAACTGAATCTAAGCTACAATTTTATTGGCTTCACAATAGTTACTCTAAATTTCCACATGTGGGTGTGACTGGAGAGTCAAGCACAGCAAATATTAAGCACAACTTAAATAAAACTAAATAAACCTAACAGACATCCAAAACACAGTATGAAGATTAAGAGGGAGAACTGCTTGAATTGGAGTAAAATTTCATTTCGGTCCAACTGGCACATTTCATGTTATCGAACTACATACAACTCCTGATCATTTTGAAATGGGAAGTAAAGGTATGATGAGAGTTTATAGTGCGTATTAACAAGGAGAAAACAAATTCATAGGTGTCAACATCAAAGCAGCTTAGTAAAAAATGCTTGAATACATTTGCTTTTGAACTACTGCAGACAAAATAGTCTGTCAGTCCCTGACTGAAATGCACTGGTTGCAGCGTGTATCATCACAGTAGGTGCTGGACTTATATCAGATATGATATTTTGCGAAAAACTGCAGAGATAGTGGAATTGCCAGAAGATCTGTCTAGCAAGAGGTTCCAGTGTGAGGGGGATGACTAATCACCATGTCATGTGCAGGACCTAAATGGAAAGGATCACAGTACACTCTCAAAAATCTAGCATCAGTACCAAGAGGAATTTGGGGAATACAGACAGTATTGATAACGAAATCACATCAACCAAGTGCAGCTCCAGCAAAAATGCCATTTAAGGAGCAGAGTTTGACTGGTATAAAATAGGTGAGTCGGCACAGAGTATCAAAGTTCCCAGGAAAACTCCCTGGAAAAGAAGGGAGTTGAAGGCATTTCTGTTTCTCGATAATGTTCTGAAAACACACCAGGAGGACACTAACATTACACCTGATTTAATGAGAGATAGCGACATGCACCAAGGGTCCTAGCGGAGCAGCCTTTCCCTGGAGCCAAGAGCAGAGCTGCCTGATTTGGGACTAGGTTGGAAATTGTCCCCATGATTCAACATGTCCGAGAGTAGCACATCAAAGAGATCTAGTAATTAAAATAATCACACTATGAGCAATAACCATTTAGTTGCCTTTCCAGGAGTGTTACCTGCAATTATCTTGCTGAAATGTTGAGCTATAAATAGCTGTCAGAAGGAGCTTGCTGACGAAGAGTCCCAAAGCGCTGAACGGCAGGCGAATGGAAGTTGATTTAGACTGTCCTTACGCACTGCTGACGGATGATATATTTCAGAAGAAAAAAAGAAATTACACAGTGAAATACAGACACTTCAAAATGTTTGAGCTAAATTTACATTCATTTCTCAAATTAGTTATACAACACTATGCAGCTCTTAAAATACAGAGCTCCTGTTCATGATAAAGTTTGTGTAAAATTAATGTCACTAAGTGAGAGAGTGAGTGACCTGGAGTGCAGTGTGCTGGTGGCCAATCCCCCCTTTCTCCATGAAGTATGTGGTCCAGGTCTAATGCAGTGCTGCTGATTCCTTTCTGGTTCCTTTCCCCTCTCCTTTTAGTTAATTTCCTTTTCTGCTTGAATTAATTAACATTATTGTTCTGAGAAGAGAGTCTAGGGAAAATGTATTGTGTTATATCACATATTTTCTTAAATTTAATCCAAAGTTTATTTCAGCAAACCAAAGTAGTTCTTTTTCCTTGTGATTCTCATTTTCAGGGAGTGTAACAGGACTTCATTCAACTTGTGTTTGATCTACAGATTTTTCTGTGCCTTCCCAGAAGTATTATGAATATGGCACAAAACCCCAAATCACTATTTTCAATATTTATGATGTGTTCTGGCATTCTGGTGCAATGTATGTGAAAGCCTCAGCTAAGCTTTGCTCTCTGGTATATGCTCAGTTTTAACCAGAGGATTAAGCTGAGGCTATCAAGAGAGAGTTAAGCAAATGCTGACTATTGGCTCAGGTGGTGCCAAGGCACAGACCATGCAGCGATACAAAATGTGCACAAAGAAAAACTGAACTGCAGAATCTCATGCACAAGTCTGAGCTGTGCTGTTATGACTTTTGAAGTTAGAAGTTAGCCAGGCAGGATATCACTTGTCTCTTGTACTTTCAAACATTTCATTTTGCTTACTTTTAGATTAGCTACTTCATTTCAAAGGATACATGGATTCAATTACAAATTAAATTTTTTTGCACCTCTAACTTGACAGACCAATTCTCAGTTTCAGTATTGACAAGCTTTTCTGCCTAACAAAATAATTCACTGCAAATTATTTAATATGACCTGAGAGAACATTGTAAGACAGTAAAAATGGTTTACAAAATACAGTGTAGCATTCTGTTCTCCCAAAAGATTACAACAGGATGTGTTTGACAGCCTTGGTTTGTAAAATCATTCTGGTAACATTTATATGTACAAGAATTGTCAAACAGTGTTACTAGAAGTCAATTTTCATGTTCTCGCTTAATACAAGTGTAAAATATAGGTGACAAATTTCATTGTAGCCTGACAATTTTAGATATGCAATAGATATAATATCAAAAGTATGTCTTAAGCTAGAAGTGGCATTTTTAACAATTCTCAGCTGCCTCACATCCTTCACAATGTTTTGATCTTTTTGTAGCAGGACATGAAAAAGGTACACCAGAAAGCTGCCTCATGCTCTAACAAGCTATTTCCTATGAGCCAAACTTTTTAAATGCTGCATTCTTTGTTATTTCAAATCAGACCTGTGATAGAATAAACCTCACGAGAGTTCTGGTATATTCTAGGACAAAGAAAATTTCAAGGAACTGTCAAATTTCATAGTTTTCTATATTAGTAGTACTAGGCTCTCCCCTTTTTTTCCTCCTACATTGTCTTCTACCCTGTTAAATGTTCAAATGGTTACAATTTCTTATTCTGATCCTAGCAGTTGCCAAGGATGGGCTCAACTCTACCTCTATTCATCTTCATGATGGTGCTCTAGTTACCTGCAGAATCATGAAATCTGCTAAATTCTCACATAAAAAACAAACTAAATAGTTGGCCTCATGTAGTCCTTGCATGCCATATCTACATAAGCTCCCCAAGACCTGTGAAAATACTAATGGTGAATAGATATCTTCCCTTTGAGCCTCTTTCAAGACAATGCCATTGTATGAGGCTAAGGGAAACTGCATAGCCAGCAGCAGACACTAAGAGATAAGATTCAGTAACTTCATCTCTACTGTATATAAAATACACAAACATGTATGTATTTAATCACACAGAAGAAGTTTTTCTGCATGTTCAAACAGAACTTCCTGTGTTCCACCTTGTCTGTTGCCCTTTGTTCTGCCACCAGGCTCTACTGGGAAGAGCCTGACCCCATCCTCTTGACACCTGCCCTTTAGATATTTATAAATGTTGATAAGATCCCCTTTTCAGTCTTCTCCAGGTTAAAGAGACTCAGGTCCCTCAGTCTTTCCTCATAAGAGAGGTGCTCCATTCCCTTGATCATCTTTGTAGTCCTTTGCTCTACCCCCTAGAAGCTGTTTCCTGTCCTTCTTGAATCGGGGGCCCCAGAACTGGACACAGTAGTCCAGTAGTCTACTCACCAGGGCAGAGTAAAGGGGGAGGATGACCTCCCTCGATCTCTGGCCATGCTCTTTTTAATGCACACCCATATATACATATATAATTTTTGATACAATGAATTACCTACCTTATTCTGAGTTATCATGACTTGGACAATAATACTTTTCCTGCAGAAGTTTAGTGTGGGAGCGAAGAATCTATTTCCAGGGACAGGTAAGGAGGTTTGATATTTCACCTAATGGCTAGATGAAAATGATGCTGGTGCCCAATTTCCACAATCTTTTGAAAGTTCTGAAAGGACAGAAATGTAAAATCAGTTATACAGCAACGTGGTACTCCATTATATCCCACATATTATATTATTACTAACAAACTGTGATTTTTCATTTTTTGGTGGTGTTTTTGCATCTTTCCCCCACACACACCTCCCATGAATATATTCCAAAAATATAAGAAAAAGTTTTGATTCTATTAAAATAAAATGAAATGCCTGAGTTTGTATTGAGGGGAAATTACATCATAAAAAATATTTTATTGGCTGTGCAATCAAACTTTTACAGTTCATAAGGATTTGTGATGGTTCATGGCAACCCTGAGAAGGGACATCTCTTTGTACCAATGATCATTAGGAAGGCTTAAGACGCCTTTTTCTTACCTGCCATCCCCTGCCTGTGTGGATATTGCAGTTGAGTCAATTAAAATTCAGTTGCTTTGGAGACAGAGGCTGAAATGTTGTTATCCTTGTAGGGGGACAGAAAGGACGAAGGAGCTATACTTCACGTGCTCTGGACAGTCAAACTTGCTTTCCATCTGGCTAATGAAAATTAGACAGGAAAGGATGAGGGAAGGGGTTTCTGTCTTGAAAGAAAAGGTGAATACAGTGAGTACCTTCCAAAGAGGCATGTGACTCAGTGGAGACTTCAGTCCTGCAGTGACAGAGGATTACTGCAGCCTTAATGGAGCAGTTATATCAGGAGGTTTAGCAACTGGGTCTGAGCGGCAAAGGAAGACCTGGAGGCAGATATACCTGCAAGTGTTTGTGCTGCAAGGCAGCAGTTATAAACAAAATAACTCTCTTGTCTAGATTATTGCTGGAGATCGGTAAAAAATCCCCCAGAATTAAGCGTTTCCTAGTCTAGTGGGAGGTGTCCCTGCCCATGGCAGGCGGTTTGGAATTCAATGATCTTTAAGGTCCCTTCCAACTCTAACCATTCTATGATTCTATAAGTTGGTTTTGTTTTTTTTTTTTAAATTATCTTTTTTAACTGCAGTTTGAAGTTGCCCATTAAAACTTTACACCTATGCTATTAATTACAGTATGTGGTAACAATATTTTGACCATGTTACATAGATTTTTTAGAGGGGAAAAGAAGCCAGATGATCCAACAGAGTGGTGCAGTCATCTCCCCAGCAAGCATCAGTGCCTCAAGATTGTCTGTCTTGACAGAATATTAGTGATGATCATTCAAGAGTAAGGCAGTGGCTAAGCAAAATCTTTTAGTTATGACTCTTACATGATCAAAACAAACTTTTCAAGTTAATATTTATAACTAGCATCTTTACAGATGAGGAAAAAGTGACAAGGTCATACTAGCATTTCTTCAATATGCATTTGCCAAATGAATAATTTATTTTCACACTACTTTAAAAAAGACTGTCATTACTGCATCCTATTTTCACATTTGAAGAAAAAGAATCATAGAAACTTCTCTTTTACAGTGCTTAAATGGGCTATTAATACTGTTTTTCTGTTTTGCTGGAAAGTTATTTATATTAATTATCAGTTTTTCTTAAAAGAAAATAAGTTCCTTGGTTATTCACTGAGAAAAGTACCTCACCAAGGTGCAACACCAAGGAGAGCCTTTTTGCCAGGAAACCTTCTCCCACATTAGCCACTGAAGCAGCTAAAAACTACTCCTTCCCAGCAGCCCATTTTATTCCTTACTATCAGCTGAAGACGGCTACATGCACTAGACTAAGAAGTTCATTGCACTTTTCAGTGTGAGCATTTTTTTTCTGGTTCTGTGCAGCTGCCAACCTGTCTGCTCTCCCGAACGTTATGGGACTCTGACAATTTCTAGTGATGACAAAGTAATTCAGCACTGTCTGTGTTTATTCCTCCAGGAATACGCCGCTTTAGCAGAAGCATATTTGCAATGTGCGTGACCTTTGCTCTCCTTAATAATTCTTTTTGACAAAATAGAGAGAAAGGGTAGCATTTTTAATGGAAGCTGTATTAACTGCTACATCTTCCTGATTTAGAAACGGGTAAAAAACCCCCTCAGATTTATTTAATCCCATCTAAAATGCATGCTTTTCATAAAGTTACCGAGCAAATCAGAGAAGCCCAAGAGGGCTAATTTGTTCTAAAGTTGATAGCTAAAGGTGGAGCTGGTTTGTTGGAATTGTGGGTCTGAGCTGCTCTCAAAGGAAACACAATCACTAGTACAAAGCCAATGCTTCTAGAAATCTTGGCTCAGATCCGTTGGACCACCATGCCTACACCAGGAGAGGAAGAAAATTTTCTTTAACATTCTATTTGTCTTTCTGAACTTCTAGGGCTGAGCAGTTCATTACTGAGGTAGTCCCAGGACAGTTCTGCCTCCATGCTCCCCTAGAAGTTATGAGCAGCCAAGAACAACTGAAGAACTATCAACCAGCATTAGCTGCACAATAAAGTTGGATGAAGATGCAGGCTAAAAAAAAATATCTCATACTACTGAGTGGTACATGCTAGCAAATAATGACATTTTAATAGTGGCCACCTGCCATTAAGATACAGTCTGGTTTAAGTGTTTTTTACATGCCCACCTTTGCCACAGTAGGACAAGAATACGGCTGTTGTCATGAGAGTGTAGGGCAGCTTCTCTGATCTGAGTGGAAGTTCAACCCCATTCCCTGAAGGTTTCTGTCATCGTTCTAAACAGCTACCTTTATATCTTTCTATTGAAAAACTGGAATGCTAAAAAAAAGAAATCATTTTTCTTATTTCTGCATTTTCAAATTCAGTGAGCGTCTCTTTCCACTGTTCCTAATGGACCATAGGCTGAAATTACTATCATCTGTTTATTCATCCAAGCAGCAGCATCATTCATTCTTTGAGCACAAATGTAGCCTCCTGCACCAAAGCAATACAATTGTCTTGCTCTGCATCACAGAAGAGATTCATTTTTATTCAGATTCTTATCTATCTAGTTAGTTAGGCAAATTTTGGTCAAACTAAGAGAATCAAATACAGATCTAGAGCCTGCAAAGCACTCCCTAATCAATAAGATTGTGTTTAAACGTGGTTTTTAAATTATTTGTTAAGGAATTGTTTTTAAACAGAGATAAAAACTGAAAAATTACTCCTAAGCATATTTCTGGCTTTAGGGGAGCCTTGACTGAAAACCCAAGATTTTGTGGCCTGTCAGACCCTGTGTCCTTAAAACACTCTGAGAAGATTTCAGTATAAAAGCACTTGCAAGTTTGGGGACTTAAGTACTGAGTTCTGAGCTGAACTTCTGTGTGTGGACTTATCACTATTTGCCATACTGGTAGTTGGTTTTGGAACAAAACGGGGAAAAATCCCCCCCAAGTCTTGAAAAATCAAGTGTTTTTTTGTTCAAAAGGAACTGCAGTTTTTTAGCAACTAATGCTGTTTAAATAAGCATGGGCTAACAGTGAAAATAATGTCTACGGTCTGGTTACACAAGTAAGCTATTTTAATTGTTGCTATTGGAAGACAAGTATCAGCATACTACATCTTAAATCATCTGGAAAAATGTATTCCTTGGCTTTTTTTCCATTGAATGAAATGTTGTTTAAAACAGAGAAAACAGTTCGACTTCCTTATATGTTTTTAGTGTGTCTTCAGGGCATTGCTATTTATTTTGCAAGGTCAGAGTAACTGTATGCTATTCATTTCACTGAATTTTTGAAATATGGCCTAGCAACTATCTATTAAAGTGACTGATTGACTAAAGTGCATAGTAGTTTTGTCTATTGTAGGCTACAGCCGGTGATATTTTAGAACTATTTGCTTTTACATTTACATTAGTTCTCTACTTGGCTATTTTGCCTAATTATAGCTTTAGAGGCATTCTAAAAGGCGAAAAAGGGTCCATATTAAAAAGTAACAGATGAGTAAGAATGATTATAAAAATAAATAATGACAACAACTAAAGGGTAAAATGTCCCATTGTGGTTTTCCCTAATTGCCAAATAGCACTGACGAAGTAGATTTCTCAGTTAAAACATCTTTAGGTTTTTGGTACCTGAGCATAATCTTGATGGCTGCACTTTGATAAATGGATTTAGATAGTTTTTTGGTCAGGTTGTATATATACTGGAGAACTACTGAGCCAATTTGTAATAGAAGGCGGCTGGGAAGGTCATGTAATCTTCACTTCATATTTTTATATATTTTCTCTTGCTTTGATTGCTATCACAGATGTATTCAGAATGCCATCTTCATATATTCGTTCATCCAAACCTGCATCCAAGTTACTATATTCAGGCTCACTACCTCAGAATTATGACTAATAGAGGACAAGGAGCCAAACAGGAGACTGTGACTTGCTGGGGCATTTCTGGGTAAGCAGGCTCAGCATAATTTTATACTGCACATTTGGCAGATGTGGTCACTGCCTACCCTGCGGCAAGTTCCCCTTTCACATCCTCTGATGTGGATAGTTTGAACCATTCTTTTAAGATCTATTTCCATGTCTCTTCCCCATCCCCACTGCCAACAGACTCCTACTCTTCATAGTGCCTGAGAAGCTCATAAAATTACATGAAGTACGCTTATGTATACAGATGTATGTATATAGGTGTATAAGGATGGATCATGGTCATGTCTCAACATGAGCCATGGTCTGTGCTCTGTTTTGCCTGGGATAACAGCAGCCCATCTCTGCCCCAGAGCCAACAGAGGTACATTACACAGGCTCTCAATTCCTCTAAGACACACAGCCCATATTACAACCATAAGCTACTGTATTACTGCAGATTGCTAAGCCTTAGGGTCTGTATGTCCTATTCAACCCTGTAAAACTGGATTATGTATGACACCCAAACTGGCTGCTTGAGCTAGCATTGCCCTGATCAACAGACACAATAAGCCTGGTCTACAGTTATGGTCTCCTTCCATACATCTGTACAGACACTGTATTTTAAGGTATATACTTTTTGAAAAGATGAAACAGAGTACATTTGAAATAAGACCTTTTTCATAAAATGAACTCACATTATTAGCTGCACCAGACTCTCTGCAATATCTGGCAACTCCCTTCCTGCCACTGCAGTGGGCGGCCAGCAAGGACAAATGAGCTGGAAGAAATTAGAATCTGTACCGATGTAGACCCATTAGCCTCTTGAATAACAGCCTTGCAGCAGTCCTGCCTTCTCCTGAGAAATTCAGCCCAGCCAGGATGTTTGAAAAGTATATCCAGTCTAAAGCTAGTTTTAGAACTTCTGTGGTTCTGTTTGCCAGTCTCATAACTAACTGTGCTATCGTTTATGCTGAACACTTAATTAAAAGCAATTTCAGATTATTTACTACTACATCTAGAATGGGTAGAGGAACAGAATAGATGTCAGGAGAGCAGGAAAAATCCATGAACAGCCAGATGCTGCAAATTTTAGTGTGAATAACATAGTAGAAAAAGAGGCAGACTAATAGGAATAGAATAATGGAAGGGAGCTAGTACAAAGTACAGAGCAAAAAAACCTGTACCAAACCCAAGACTAAGTTGTTCTAAAAGATGCACTGTGTCTATTCGACAGTAGAGCTACTCAAATGTCATAAGATATGGAAAGTATCTATGTGTAGCTGTTGGTACTACTCCCTGCATTGTAATGTCAAAACAGATTTTTTAAGCATGCATTAGTTTTATTCTGAGGCTCATAGCATCTACCCAGTGCATGGCTAAATAAGTATTCACATGTTATTTAAAAATAATTGTACTCTCTTGGGTAGTCTCTGCCCTGTATTATCGTATGAATTTAAAACAGCTGCTATTGTGATCTATTGGAAGCAGCTTTCTTAGACATTCCTAATGATGCATTTATTATATATTTAGTTATGTTTACTATTTGAAAAGATTTTCACTGTTGTGCTGGATTTCTAGATAGCCAAACAAGTAAGTAGCAAAACAAGTTTGGAAAAAATAGTCCATAAAAACCTGAAGACTTTAAAGGACTGCAACCTATCAAATAAAAATACTGATTTCATATGCATTGCAAAACAAAGGTTCTGCGGTTATTTTTTTTCTAGATTTTGTTCCTCTATCAGCTGAAAGAGAATGAAATTTCTATGCAGGTTTAAAAGCTGCACATCTTTCACAGAACATATAATTTCAGGAATGTGGGGATCCTCTTCATTTTCACAAAAATGATGGGCATTTACAGTTGATTTCAGTGGCAAATAGGAATACTCTGCCTCTCTGAAACTCAAGCTAACACTAGCGATAACTCTAGTAGCACCAGTGGGAAGTAATAGTGTTGGATACGCAGCCCAAAGCAATTAGTGCTGGGGACCTAACACCATGCTTTACATGTCTCAGGGGTTTTACTTACAGTTAACTGCAGTTCGTCCTGTGGACTGAATGCCAATTAGCTGTTGGAATGCATCAGGTGCCCTCCTGGAGCGGCTTTCTCCTTTATCTGTATTCAGAAGGAACCAGGCCATGCACTCCAAGACCTCTGTGCAAAGAGAACCAGAATACAGTAGATCAAGGTGATCAGAAGACCTGCTTCAAGAGCACATTCTTGAGCCAAACTGAAATATTCTTGTAGATGCATCTGATGTCTCTGAAAAGCTGGACTGACTGTAAATTTGAGATTTTTTCAGACTTGTCAGAACTTAGAACAGCCTTGCTTTGGCCCTTTTAGTTTGCATTTACACACAGCAAACCTGCCCTGTAGTATTCACACCTAAATCCTTGTGGTTCTGAGGCCTCTCAGTTCCCACCTATTCCAGCAAGAATTGATACTCAATATCTCACAAAACCAGCCACTTTACGCCCGGGGAAAAAATGATGCAGTAACTTAATGCTCTTAACATTTCATAAATGGTAACAATGGACTGTGCTAGGGAGTTGGTACATTTGTAAAACTTTTCCTTAGTGCAATATTTAAATTGAGAGTTACTACAAAAAACACGGCTGGGCTGGCAATTGTGCAGTACTTTGAGGGGTTTAGATTTAGAGAGATCAAACAAGGAAAAGATGCCCATGTAGTTTAAATTGTGATTGCTGAGCACAACAACATCCCAGCAGTAAAGCTGTAAGAGGAAAAACAAAGTTTGAATTTTTTCCCTCACTAGAAACACCAGTAGCATTGGACTGCAGCAGGGCAAGAAACGAAACAACCAATTCAATATCCACACACAGAACAAAAAAAAAGTTTTCTTTTCATGACATGGAGCAAAATTCCATGACAAACATGCTTGTATCATCTTGAACTTCTTTGAAATAATAAGATTCATGTTATGAAGATGAAAGTTACCTCTAGGACAGCCTGTAGTGGGATTATGACTCTGTCCAGACTTGTGCCATTGTCCCTCGCTGCTCCTTGTGGCCTGCAGTCAAGCACAGACAGCCTGGCCAGAGTATCTGCATGAAATGGTAGTGAGAACAAAAGCCAACTCAGGCAGAGGAATTTTGCAGGTTATAGCATGGTGTCAGCAGTCTAAGCACATAGCAACTGTTGTTGCTTGCTGGCCTGGGAATCATCAATCACTATGTTCCTCAACACTATAGAAGGCCATTGCTAGCCTGGATAAATAGATCCACCTGCAGTTTCCATGAGCCACATCCTCTGCTCCAGCTGAGGCAAACACATATGCTGGAGCTGGAGTTCCATCAACAGCAGCCATGGTTGTACAGTAATGCAAAGGAGGCTGAAGAACAATAAAACTCACCCCAATGTCAGTTCCCCAGACTCTGATCCACAGGAGTCATCGTTTGCAGCAGGATTCACAAAAGAGCAGAAGTTCTTGGCAGATGTAGACTTGCAGTCCAATTTAGAGAGTTTTTTTTTTCTCTGATTGCACACAGATAAAATGTCCAAGACACAAACTACCACCACAATGGTGAAACCTCCATAACTCAGCAAGTGATATCCTAATAGTGAACAGAAAAACAAAGAAATAAAGTCTATAACTACACAGCATCTTTACACAAACAGCTGCATAAAGGACCAACTTACCAAACTGCAATGGATCCTAACTTTTCCCTTAGCTGCTTGGAAAGAAGTTTGCTGGTATACATGCCATGTCATAGACTGGCTGTATGCAGGCACCCCAGCTATTAAAGGAAATTCTCATACAGAGAAATCAACAGCTTCAAGCTGTTGGGACCAGTCACACTTTGAGTCTACACTGCTTGACAATGTGAACCATACAACAGCAATTTATTGTCACAGGAAATTCTGACTCCATGTCTCTGTCATTAAATAACTTCTTTTGTCATTATTTCTAGCTAGAAAAGCAAGCGAGCATCAAGCTAAAAAACTTCTGAGCCAAAAATTCCCACTTAAGTATATATTTTTTTTGGAAAGTCTGGAAATCTCCAGTGAAAAACAACTATTTGTCAGTCCAGCATCTTCTAAAGAAGATCACTTTCCAGCCTATGCCAAACCAGCTAAAACAGTGAGGATCTGATGAACCCTAAAAGAACAGAATGTCTCGTTCATTTACATACAGTAAACACATGTTTCATCCAAACACAATTGTGAAATAGTTTTGAAATCCTTCTTTCATTGCAGTTTGGAGACTGTTGGCTAACGAGAGTCCCAGAAGGTTGTATTGTCTCTTGTTTATATGGGAGGATCAAATTACAAAAAAAAAAATGTTTTGGAAAGATCATTTGTCTTTTGTTTCCTGAGCACTTTATTTCCATTGAACTACTATTTCTAAGATTAAGCATCAGGCACCTTCTGCATCCATCCAGTATAAACTCATGCTTTAAAGGAAGACATGCATAAAGTCTGGCACACAGAATCATAGTCTGTCTTTATCACCACAGGCTAGATAAAATTTAGAAGCTGGAAACATGGCTGTCTAGCAGTCATAATTCTGTCTGTATTTATCTGGCACCAACTTCCCTTGCTTTTTCTTTTGATTCATTCCTTATTTTCTTCTCCAAATATTTTCTTAGATTGAGTACCTGTAGTAATAAAGGATGACATGCTGTGTAATTCTAATTTTGGCCACTTATGGGAGTAGGTGTTGAGGCTGTGCAAGACTTCACAGAATCACATCCAGAAGACAAAACTGGTACAGATTGTAAGGTCATTATAGCAACAGTAAACTAAGCTTCTAGGAAAAGCTATCTTGGAGAAAAAATTGCGTATGTCAGGGAGCACATCTCAAAGTTTTCCAGGGACGGATGCTGTAGAACAGTCCAGGTGACAAGGCATGGCCAAAGGGGAAAAAAACAAACAAACAAACAAACAAACAAACAAAAACCCAACAAACAAATCAGAGCTGAGCTTTTACTTCAAAACTGGAGTTCAATTTTGAAATAACTGTAAGTGTAACAAGCTTGGTGGTCTCTCCTCAGTCCCTGATGGTTAGGGGAATCCACACCATAAAACCACCGCACAGCATCTGACACAATTGGCAGTCATGGCATAAGAGAGGCCCCCAGCCGGAGCCACCACAGCTGTAGTGCACCTTCACTGACATAAAATAGCAAAGAAAACTGTGTGCTCTGATCAAACAGAGCTGGTTGGTTAGAAAAACGTCTCTGTTCACAGGAAGTAAATTATACACCTGACCCAATGTCCATTCAAGCAGCTCTCACAATCTTTAATGTTACCTATTCTCAATGAATTGCTTTGATGGCAGCCTGCATGAAAACCCATGGACACTGATAAACACAAGTGAATGGGCCCCATGCAGGACCTGGTCAGTCAGAGACCAGCTCTCGTGCACCCTTCGAAAAATATGACAGCACAAATACAGTAAATCTGAAAAGGAGGCAAGAAGGGACACCAAACAGCAGGAGATGCAACCAGGCACAGCATTTTTCATCTTCAGAAGTAATGCTTTGTAATTTCTGTAATGGGTTTCAATGATGAGCTTAAAGAGATCTGTTAATGAATTACTTAATTCACATAACATCCTTGAGGCATAGCAGTATTAAATTGATCTAAAAATGAGTAAACCGAGGGGCTGCAAAAACCCATGACCGGGCCAAGTGTGCACAGCCTATTGGGGAACAAGGGCAGAACCTGCAGGTGCAGTAGCACCTCCCAGCCCACAGCATCCACTTCAGGGGTGCACACACCACAGTGCCACCAGGAGAAAGACAACATGACAAGTGCTTTCCTCTTCCCTTCCACACCTCTCCTGCTCATTTGTTCCCTTCAGGTCCTGCAAAGTTCCAGCTTTTGGTTTTGGTAAGTTGTAAAACAGAATAGGTCAGAGCTACTACCATTGGGTTTAGTGAAAGTGGCACCAAACCTTTGATCATCAATGGTCCCTTAACTATGGCATAGAAGAAAATCTAACCCAGTCTAGCTCAATGGCCAAACCAGCCAGTTATCAAAATCAGTAGTCATCAATAGATCTAATATTAGAAGAGTAGAAAAATAAATAATTTTACGATTTACCTTTACTAAGAGAACTTGTCTTATAAAATAGGCACCAAATGTCATTTGTTTCTACTTAAATTGTACTTGTGTGCTTCCTTTTTCTGAATAAAATGTCCAGTAAGTATTTATGGAACGGCATGAGTCAGAGGAAGCTTGCACGGCATTCATAGTGTGCAGTAGAGTACTATTGCTTTAAAGTCATCAGCTTGGGAATGCTGTCAGCCCATTAAAAATGACCTGCCAGACCACAAAGAAAAAAAAAAGATTTTTCGGTCATGAATAGCCCTCTCTACCTACTCAGAATAATTGCAAGATGAACTTTTTATTGTATGAGTAATCAGGAACCACAGAAATGTTGATGAAAGCAATAGTGTAGTGCTGCTCAGTTATGGTGTATGCATAGTCATTGATGGAGCAGCTCTGAAAATTCTTCTGATCATTAAAGGCAAGTGGGAGCCAAGCAAATGAAAAAGAAATACATAGAAATTTTCAGCACTTAATCTGAATGTGCAGGTCCTCACAGAAGAAGAGCAATTTTAACATCTGTTACTGTCTGCTACAATTTCCATCTTGAGAAATCAGTGTCATAAATTTCTTCAGGAATGGAGCTTGTGTTGTGACTCAGTAGTTGGTTCAAGCTGTACTTAATTAGAGTAAATCAGCACTGCAAATGTCACTTAGTTCTAATTCAGATAGAAATAATGGAGCTCCAATGTAATTTGATTTACAGCTGACAATCACCTTGGGATGTACTTTCTGTAAGAGGTCTTTCCAGAAAGTTCTTAAGCAAGTACTGGGGTTAAAAGTAGTCTGAGAGAATTATAAGGGAATTCTTACTGGCAAGAGGCAGAAAGATCAAATCAAAGAGGGTATTTTTCATAGAAAGATTCTCAATATAAAGGCTGTATTCAAGGAAAATAGTATGATCCTGTACTCACTCCCTAGCAGACTATATGTATGAAACTGGTCCTATTACTAGTAAAAATCTGGTTTCAAAACAATGGCTGCAGTTCACTTCTTCTCATAGCCAAGATGCCACATGGCCAGAGGGACAGCTACTCCACAGAGACCAGCCTGTGGGCTGGCCGAGCTCTACAGACTTAGACTTTGAAAGTCTACAGACTTTCAAATTATTATTTTCCCATACCTACATTAAACATCTCAAAAATTTCAACTTTGGTTTAAATGACCTTTCACAGATGACTTTTAGACCCAAAATTTGGAAAGATTTTCAAGGGAAATAAAAGTTGAGAGGTTTTTTTTTAAAACCTCTCTTGCTTTACCTGTCAGACAATACCCTTGTGTTAGCACTGTACATCTGCTTGGTTGAATCCTGGACTCAAAGCAAAGCAGCAACTCCACAGCAACTCATTTCTGCTTTGCTTAATTTTTTTTTTTTAATTTTTTTTTTTTAACAGGACAGAAATAGAGCCTCATTCTGCTTCAGAAGTGTTAACAGAAAAGGCCACTCATTACACATGCTTTACAGACTGGCTGCTTTTGACTGGCAGCTCTAATGCTGTGCAGATCTAGGCTTTTTCTCTCCCCTATTGGGACAATTTCAGATGCGCCTTTGGCTGATCTCTACCACTACTGTAGCTTAGCTATGCAGATAATTGTATCACATGAAGAGATTGAAAAAAAATAAAACTATATTCAAAGCAAACCACAATATGAAAGCAAACCTTCAACTTGACTTACCTTCTCTGTGCCACATTGGAATACCTTAGCTCTGAAGGGTATCTGATGCACATTTTGCCTGTCAAAGCCAAAGACTGGTCACCTAGAAGGTACTGAAAGGAAAGAAGTACCATATCACTTCTGAGTGCTCATGGCGAACCCACAAAAATCTCTGCTCATGGCTCAATTTTAACACTTTTCTATTTGTATGCAAAAGAGAGCATTGAACAGGCAGTACTTACAATATCTCAGCTGGGAACCAACATCGCTGTGGGTGCTCACACTCACCCAAGCCTGAACTTTCCCCAGTAACCCCAGCAAAATTCTTACCCAATCCTGTTATATAGCAAAGTTCAGTTCCTTCCCTGTCTTTTTAAACTTGTTTTGTTTTGTTTAGTATCCGTCCACCCTGTGCAGTCTCCATGGGTTAGGTCGGGGCGGCTGCATTTCACACCTCCGAGAGAATCGCAGAATTGTTGGGTGAGAGGAGCAGGGAGGAACCAGCCAGAGCAGATGTGGGTGATTGCTCTGCGCCTCTGCCCTGAACTGTGGGAGGCAGCCAGGGAGCAGAGAGCACAAAGCAGGCTTTGCCCCGGCCTAAGACCTACCCCACGTTTAAGAGTCAACCAAAGCTCTCACACAAAGGAACTGAGAGAATTGTTTGTCTTTCTACATGACACTTGCTTCTTGTGTTTCTTGGGTTCAATACTTATGCACAATCTGATATAGTAACATCTGAATTCTCAAGTTTTTGGGGGGTTTTATTACTTTTTCCTCTTACTCATGTTGCCTTTTCTCTTTGATGTTATGTTTTTCAGTGTTTCTGTTACTGCGTTGCAGGCGTCGCCCAGAAATTACAGTGTCTCACACGGGCATTACATAACAGTTGCAGCAGATATTACTGATATTTCCCACTGTTTGCAAACCAAACTTGGTTTCCCCTTCATGTTTTCCAGTACACAATTGTCAGTTTACAAATGAGCACAGGCTGAGTCATTTTTGCCAAGCCATCGTCTTTCCACTCGCTGTATCCAAGTCCCAAGCGACAGGGAGCACACAGCAAGAACAGTAATACCAAAAAGGGCAGATAATCTGCTGCTGTAGAAGAGAGAAGTTATTTTGACTTGATTTAAAAGGTTATGAGGTCATTGGAATACTAATAATAAGTCTTTTAATTTGGCAGCGTTGATTCAGGATTATTATTTTTAACTGGTTGTTTTTCTTTCAATTTCCAACATTCATTACTAGGAGCTAAATCTTTGGCCACAATAAACTGACACTGATTTCCTTAAAATTACACTGACCCCTGAGCGTCCCCTGCCCCGTATCTGCAGCAATGTATTTTGAAGGGGTGCTAGCACTCACTAGAGTTTAAAACTGAAAAAAAAGGTGTTTTGGTTTTGCCTCCTGTGTTGTAATCTCAAGGTGTGACAGACCATATGCAGCCTCGTCACACGTTAGGCAGCTGCACTATTCTGCTCCCATGGCCCTGAGCTAGTCCAGGATGCAGAGTAGTGATCCTGAGCAATCCATAGCTAGCTTTTGTGCCAAATTCTCACAATTTTCACTGAAGTTTTATCTCTTTTAGTATGTCACTTTCCAGCCCTGGCATAGCCCTTTTGTATGCACATGTTTTGGAAAAGGGGCGAGGTGACATACAGGGGAAGAAATGTGGGCTATGCAGAGTCGTGTCAGTATTTCCTAGCGTATGCTATAAAGACAAGTGGATCTGTTTCTCACATACCATATGAACAATAATTGTCTTACGCAATGCTTTTCCAGGCTATGAAAGAAAATTCAGTCCAAAAAGCCAAGTATGCTAATCTGCTTTCAGACAGCTCTCCACTCCACTCTCGTGCATTTCTAATAGGCACAGTAATGAAGCAGTACCAAAAACACTACTCTGCCCTTTTGGTGATGGATGTTAAGAGTCACAAATAATCACTAAATCCATGCTAACTAAGAGGAACTCATTCCTTTGCAGTCCCCAGTAGTGTGTCACACCATGATCCATTGCCATGTCCCATAGAAATGAATTGGTCTTTTCTCTTATTGTTCCTGCACATTAGAAGCCATTTGCATTTCCCTCCAATGAATTTTATAACCAAGTTCAGTGACAGATTCTTTACAGAAATGGTTTCAGATTTTTCAAGGCACAGTGGAGGAGGAAGGATGTCACACAGAGGGCTTCACTATTGCCTTCTGAGTTGCAGTGAACTGAAAATGTTTTCATTCTAAAGGCTCAGCTTTGAAAGAGTGATTTCACCTTCTGAGTTGCTGATGAAATAACTACATTCATACCAAACTGAGACTGGTATTGCACACTAAAAAGTGACATGGAACAGCTGTGTTTGGCATTATGGCTTCCACTCACAAAAGGGTTTCCTCCTCAGTTCCTAGAAATTTGCATGGAATATGCAAAGGCGCAGTTGCGTATCTCTGAGAGTCCCAGTGTCCTTGTCTATTACACATTTTTCTCACAGTTTGTTCTCAGGCTGGATGGATGAAAAGTAAATAAGTTGAAGATTGAAATAGGTGTCCTAATTAACACTGTTCCCTCAGTATTCTGTTCTTAGCTGATGACCAGACATTTGAACTTAAGTGAGACCAGTCCAGGCACACTGAACATTCCCTCAACCTGGCTGCTTTGATTGGTTATTTTTATTAATTTTCAAGATCTCTTGGATGACTTCATAGGATGTTTTTTTTAAAAAATAAAAATCAGAAGTAATAAACTAGCTCCGGCTTACATGTGAGTAATTATAACTATATTAATGACATGGTTTCTTTTTCTACTGTGATAAAAGAGCATCCAGCATCTGAGTAGTATTACTATATTTTAGTATTTTGTCATTAAAAACATTTCATAATGTTCATAATTCACTTCAGTCTCCCTTACACACACTTCACTCTCTTTTGTACTTGAGCAGAACTGTTAAATGGGACACTATTTTTTGCAAAAGACTTTTAACATTTCATTATGTATTTTTCCTATCCCTCATTACTGTCCATTTAATGCAGTTTCAAATTATTTCCTCTCACACATACTCCGTGAGCTTTTGGTTTCTGAGTCCATCAGTGACACACATGGCTGAAACACACCCATCTGACACACTGCCCTTAACGCTTCCAGCCAATAAAATCAGCCATACCCTGCTGCACGCAATTGCTGGAAGATGATTAAATTGCATTGTGTAATTTTTTCTTACAATCCCTATTACAACTTTCTTTAAGGCACAGCCTTCCCTCCAGCACCACCACCTTCCTAGCAATCCAATTTGCCATTACTCCAAAACTGCAGAGACAGCAAAGTTTGAGTGTTATAGCAGGTAAGGAAAGTTGTTCCTGTCTTGCTCACTTCTGTCTCAGTGTCAGCAATATGCCTACCCTCTTACAGCTTCGTCTAACACCAGATTGCTTGCACTGAGACATGGTCAGTGTTTGTAGGTGGTCCACCAGGACTTTAGTTGACATGACGCCAGCCCTTTCTTGTTCTCAGACAGTTTGACCTCTGCATTTGTGGCAGTAAGCCAGCAGAAAGGCGCAGCCAAAGGGTCTAGCTGTGTCACAAGCAGCTGTTACACAGGGTCAGAGGCGGCAACAGGAATTGCTTTCATGTTCCATGAATTGTAGTCAAGCTGTTTGCAAGATGGGAGAGGTGAGCCAGCACTGGGTACTATTCCCTTAGGAATAGGCAGGAACCCTAATATGCTTGGATTAAATGACAGTCATGTGGGCATTTGATGCAGTTTATCATCCAGAACTGAACCTGTGATCTCCTAGCAAATGGCTTTCGACTTTATCTTCTCATTAACTCTTATGAACTCGTTCACTGATGGTGTTTCCTGGCTCCTTGCCAGCTTTGAAGAAGAAGTGGTTCAGTCTAATGGAGCAGACATTTTTGGCAGGAAAAAATATGCTACTCTTTTTGCAATGGGTTATTTGTCCCTTTACCTGCTTTCTTTAGGTACAATGGTGGTCTGCAGAGAGGGGGAGTGCCAACCCCAGATTTAGCAGAGAAGGCAGCAAATATAGCCCATGGCTTCCTTAGACAAACCGTACTGGGAGCTGGGAATCAAAGCTGACTGTCTATTCAGCCTAGCGGGCAGATCCCACCTCCACATTGTTCACCGTATTGAGCCCATGTGGAGTAGTCTATTTGATGTACAAAAAATTGAAGCCTTTTTTGAGTTCTGAACCTGATCTGTAAGTCTGCAGTTAAGTACTTTTCTTTTACAGAAAAAGTAAGTTTTGCCTGAAGGTTGTTGGATTTGCTTCATAGTAAAGTGGTTTTCATTTAAGATGTCTTTGTGTGTTAACAACCTTGTCTGAAGGTTATTTCATTGTATTCTCCTTGATCAAATGCTATTCACAATAGAGTGGATGTCATGACCCAGTAATCCCATTTAATGAAATTCAATGTCTCCTGACTAGCTGTCAAAGGGAGGTCCCATTCAAACAATTATCAGACCTTAGCATTCAACTTGTGACTAATAGCAAATCAGAAATGACTCTTGCTTTCCTCCTGTTCACCTTGAGTGAACCTTACATTGATTAATAGATCTAGATATCATCAAAGTCTTAAGAATCTGCACACACACTATCATAAAGGCAAGAAATAATTTCTGATGGGCACATTTAATCCACCTCATAAAGCATCCTGTTAATTCTCTTGTACCTTGGACTATCTAAAACTGATGTTGCACATTTGTCTCCCCAAAATAATTAACTCTTATCAAAATCCACTATGCTTCATTTACTCAACCATAACAAGCATTTACTCACAACACACAGCTTCTTTTTGAAACCAGAAACATTAAAATAATGTGAAAGAAGGAGGCTCTGGAACTCTAAGAAAAATTTCATCTCAGCCTTGCAATACCTGTGTCTTGGTATCTTCCTACCTTGCTACCATAGCCTTGAGGGAGTTTCCAGACATGGAACAGTAACACGCCTAACAACATGGTGCACAAAAAAAGCAGTATCATATGTCAGCTTCTGTTTGGAATACTAAAGGAAGCATCTGGCTGGAGCCTACATCCAGGACAGAGAGAAACATGACCTTCCATGCAGGACCCACAGCTACCAAACCACTCCAAAATATGGGACCATGAGTCAGACTAACGGTCTCATAGGAAGAGGTGTTGAAACTTTTTTCTTTCCATTTCTCAGCCCACTGAAGCTCTTTGTCAGCACTGACACTCTCCCACTCAGAACCCTTAACTAGGATATGGAAAATCCTATTCTGAGTGCTTTTGATATAGAATTTGGCATGGGAATTTGGACTGGTAATTCATATTTCCCAGGGGAATGACTTCAGCTTGTGCAGTTGTCAAAGAGCCTGGGTGGTGAAGCTGCTTACTATGGCCTGTGCAAGACTAGCCTGAGTATATTGGGAAAAAAGGAGCAGCTCCAGCAGAAGACTACCTGTAAGGAGACACTCTTCTTTTGAAGCTGCTCCACTTTTCCAAATATTAAATATTCATGGAGGTATGGAGAAAAATACAGCTGATATATGAGCTGTTAAGCCCTCTGCAAGGCTGGACATGGGAGAAACTACCTGATCAGTGAGATACTTTCTAGACTTGAGTAATCATATATCCTCTATAAAAGAGAAATTGAGATGCCCAGGCATCTTTTTTTTTTTTAATGGGAATTTAAGCATCCCAAGAGGTGTTTTTTTCAGTGTGAATTGCATACTTGCACAGTTAAGACCTGGCATGGGTGAACCACCTAACAACTAAGGAGGTGGTCAGCTTTATTGTCAATCCACCAATACAGCAAGAAAGGTTATGAGGTTGCTGATGTTGCAGTGCCCGAAATGAACAAAGGCAATTGGCTTTATTGCCAACAAAGTCTCCAAGAATTTTTTGGACAGGGAAGATTATTAACGTCTGTGCAATGATGACAGCACAACATGGGTAATTTAATGCAACCCACCTTAAATGCCCTAGAAAGTTAAAAGAAAAGGCATTCTGAACTAACTTTTCTCAAGGATCACATGCAGCTGTTCTATGTTTGCAAACAGCTGCAACATTTGACCGAGGAAGATGCAGTAATCTGTTTAGTGTCTGCATATTTGTCTGAAGAGTGCTTAACAAACCATTGTGATGATCAGCACTTTTAAAATGTACCAAGCTATGGGCCTATTCCTCCTCCATGTCTCACACCGCAGAGACCTCAAACCTGTCTAGTATAATTTAAACCTGAATATGCAGTGACGATAACATACACAAATATTCAGTAATACCCAGAAAGGTACTCACCACTGTGGTAAAAAGTGCTAAAGCAATAAAGCTTCCATGGGTTCCAATGCACAGAGGTCACAATTCAGCACTTTTGAAAATTTCCTTCTCCAAAGTCTATTAATACTTGCAATTACCATCCAACTGTTCTTCAATGGTGACTTATAACAGCCTTATTTGTATTCACATGGAGAATTTCAGGTACGAAGTTCATTGCTGCATGCTATCCCAGATCTGAGTCTCTGAGGTTGAACATCAGTCAACCGGTCTTTGTAGCCGCAGGGAAGTTTACAACTGGCAGCTCCCTGCCAAAGTAGAGAAATGATCCACCACTCCTGGTGTCAGTGATGCCAGTGATGCCTATTACTCTTTCTCGCAGGGTTGGTGCCCAAGTGTCCCAGCAGAGAGGAAGGCAGCCTGGTCACTCAGACCCATTTCCACGCTTCAGTGTGATGTCCCAGCATCAGGTTAACCTCAGGCACCTTATGTCAGCACCCTGGCTGGCTCAGAACTTTTCCACCAAGCTTTTGCTCCAGGACTTTGTACCCACCTATCTCCATCTGTCCTTTCCTAGGGGGATGGGCTCTGAAATAAGCTTCAGCCCTTTTCTTGCGACTCATCCTTGGTGGGACAAGGCATGGCACCCACTTCAGTACTTCCGTCAGCTTGTTTGCAGGGTCCAGGATGTATTTAGTGCCAGGACTAGAGATCATGTCACACAAGCTCAAGGACAGACCACTTGTACAAGCACAGAGGGAAAGTCAAGCACAGGCTTGACTAGAGAGCTGAGACAAGGGTGGTCCTCCCAATCACAGCACGGGGCAGTTCAATGCTTCAGTTTGAATGAAAGTTGTTGCATTTGGCTCTGCAAAATACTTGGCACATACACAATGGTGAAACAGTAAACATTACGATAAACAGAATTTCTTAGGCATTCAAGAAAAATCCCAACTGATTGCAGGAATCTAAGACAGATACTACAAAAAGCAGTAGTTTGTGAAAACACTCAAATAAAAGGTGAATATAATGGCTGAAATACAGATTGTGGTAACTGTAGGGGTAAGAACAGGGAAAAAATATCAGCAAAGTAAACTATTCTTTTAAATGTTAAATAAATCTAAATGTGAGTGAATGAAATATTTAAATGACAATTTCAAACAAATTAGTGTCTTTTACCTTTTGGGTTATGTAAATGCCATGTATATTTTACAACTTTAAGAAACTTTACAATTTTGTGGTACTGCATAAATGCAGCACATGTTGAAGCTAATGAAATAATTGTCCATACGCATATGTAAACCACCCTAGAACAGCTAAAGCAATCAATGAAGATATTAAAGGTAGAAACAACAACATTCAAAAAACCCAAAGAAATAAGGTTATTTATAGATATTAAGTATTAGTAATTTTTTGCTACAAGTTCCAAACCACTTAGTTAGAAAGCCACTCTGCAACTGTTATACAGATTTATTGCTGCTCTCCTTCCTTCAGCATCACCAGAAAATCAATAGACACTTGCCTGATATCATATAACTTTTCTTGGAAGAAAGTCTGTATATTACTGAATCTAGCAGAATGGATGGGGTATGATTTCTTCAGTTCCTTGTTTACTTCAGTAAATTATTCAGTTCCTTATTTAAAACTGCAAAGACAGTTTTATCCACAATGAATTTGTATTGACAAGATTGTGACCATATATTTCAACCATTCTCTAGCTGTTATAGATCACTGACTCCAAAAGCAAGTAAACAAAAAAAAATAAAATAGCCCAAACCTCAAAATGTGGATGTTAAGACTGTTTGTTGTCTTTTGCAGGAAACAGCAGAAAGTAACCTCATATAAAATTTTGCCTTTTTTTTGGTTGTGATGGATGTGAATGTCATTGTGCTATGAAGAGAAAGGAAGAACCTGAAAATAACAGTGAGCATTAGCACATCTTTGGACACATAATCTCAGCCTTAAGGCTGAGTTGCAGTAATTAAATAAACAGGATTTCAATATGGGATTTGCTGTGGAGTCATGTTTCTACCCTGACCCTAAAGAAAAGGAATGTGTTTTGTTGTTTTTTTTTTCTAATGGATTCATGTTGGACTTCAATGCTGCAAAGCAGATTATTAGTTTTGTTATTCAGCAAAGTATTCTATTAAATGCTCCTTTAGGCCTTTTTCCTTACCAAGCCTCACGTCCTCACCAGCTGGCTCGGAAGCTGCAGCGAGCAATCCCAGTTGGACACTGGGAGCAATGCTAGTTACTATCCCACTGATACTCATGGCATTCATTCCTTCCAGAGCTCCCTGGAGACAGCCACTGCTGATAACAATGTCAATATGATTGACTTATAGTTGTTGTTGGCCCAGGGTGGAATAGAGGGGCCAAATTAACTGGTATGTAAGCCAAGAGAGGTCAGACAAAACCAACTGAGCCCTTTCGGCTTAGTCCTAAAACATGGCACTGAACTAATGAGACCAGTGTAGCAGCTGTACATGGGATTTCGTGCCACAGCCTCTTGGCCATCCATCACCACCATTTAAGGGTGTAATGAGGGCTCACAGCTGGGCTGGAGGCAGGGAAAAACCAGGACAGAGTACTTGTCCAGGCCAACAAACTCTGTTCCTTGAACTGCTCTAACTGGAGCCAGTCCCGCAGGCAAAGTATCTCAACCATCCCAGCTGGCAAACATTATTTGTTTCCTTTCGAGGAATAAAGGAAAATACCATTAATTAAAGAATATTTAAAATATCATTCAGTATTTGTTTGGGCTGATTGTTATAACAGCATCGTGTGGCTGATGGATCCCTGGAGTAAATGAGCCATTTACTGCTGTAGAAAGGTATTTCTGCCCTGCCATTCTCCTCCTACTCTCTTGACTGCACTGGCAGATCTAATCAGATACTTAATTGTGTTCTTTCAAAATTGAACAGGAAAGGCATTCAATGACCAGTGAAGACATTTCCAAAGGAAAACACTCACTTTCTCCTGAAAAAAAAAAAAAAAGAAAGAAAGAAAGAAGGATTAGCTGTCTTTTTGGGACCATTTTTGAGAATGAATGGCTGTAAATGTGGATCACAGATGATGTACTCTATATCCCAGGATTTTGGGGTTGAGTCATATTATTGTACCAGACAATAGCTGGACAAATAAAAAAAATCTGCTTCCATTAGGAGAAAGAAATATATAGCAGAAAAAAAGAGTTCTTCAGTACACTGGGAAAAACAAATACATATTTGAAAGAATTATAGAGCTATATTTGTTCATAGCACAAAAAAAGAAAATGTTTTCATGTCTATTTTTTTCATACTTGTTTTGTAGCAATTATTAATTAAGTACACACTATTTTTGCATTTTATATATCTGCATGCCTACATAAAAACTCTACTTTTTTAAAAAAACTAAGTACTGATGTCTGGCATGTCCTCAAGTCCTGGATCACTTCTGGACAGAAAGAAGGCAAACCCTAGAAATCTGCTTACTTTGGATCTGGCTTCTGACACTCCTTGATGGCTAACAGACAACAGTGTCGTTTTTAAGAGGCCTTCAGCTGAGATTAAAAAACTATATTAACTGCCGTTTTTCTGTGCTATATCAGAGAATGTAAGAGACAGGGTTTAGACCGAAAAAAAATGACCCCCTTGGCATGTGCTGATATCAAGGAATATTAAGTATTTTCTTCCAGCTCACCGAGCCCTCTCAGATTTAAGGCAGACTAGTATAGCTGTCCGCAGCAATGTAATACATAGTACAGGCTCTTTCTGGAAAAAAATCTAGGAGATAGCCGGCCTGAGGAAAAATGAGGAAATATTATTGTTCATTTCTCTACTCATTGAAACAGGTTTTAGGAAAGGAGAGCAAATTTAAGCTCTACAGTGTGTGAAGTATATATTTGATAAGAGGTTGAATCAGGTGACTATTTATTAGAAAGCACAGCAGATGCTGAGTAACATCATCTGTCCTAAAACAAGCCTGAGTTGTAGGAATGCCAATCCACACAGCCACTAAAAGCAAGACTTAGGAATTGCATTTTTAAATGGGAAATCAGGAAAAAAAGCCATCCCCACCCCCCCCACACTTTTGTTAGTGTGGTCCTTAGTATGAAACTACTTGAATAAATTTTCCCCAGTCTGAAAAGTGTCATGTCATTAAAAGTAATACAGATTTGTGGACAACTGCCAGCCATACTTTGCTCAGGATAAAGAAAAGCAGTGCAGAATCATACTCCATCATTCACCAGACTGCTTAAACTCCTTTTACTTAAATAGAAGTCCATCGTAATATTACAGAACACTTTAAAAATGTCCTGTAATTAGTTTCCAGAAATAAATTAGCTAACAGTAGATGAATCCCAGACTTTTTTTCTGCACACCCCAGGCTGATCAACCCTCAGAGATACTTGAATCTGGAAAAGTCACAATCAAATGCAGTGTTATAACCTTGCCAGCCCTGTACAACTTTCTCATAATCAGGTTCTGGCTTTCATTCCTTCATCTTGCTGTCTCCAAAGACATCCACTCCAGTTGGCATGATACTTGTCTTGCTTTTTCAGAAGTGATGTGGAAGTATAGCAGGGTTGTGCATGGCTGAACTCAGCTTCCAGCTCCCTTTGAAGTCAAGAGAATGGCAGACTGTGCATGTTAGAGTAGTTCTCTCACTGCATTTCCCAAAACAGTGCTGCTTGCGAGCTTGCCAACACTAAGCAGTTACTAGTGTAGAGTAGAGGACAGCAGCAACTGCTGGGCACGTGCCAATTTTTCTATTAAATATCAACAGCATTGCTACCTGAAGCCACCAAGAACATGGTGGAACTAAGAGAAAAATGCTACAAACTCATCTATAAATTTATATCCTGTGTTGCTGTTGGCAGGCTGGAATAATCACATAACCAGCCATTCAAAGCAGGACTGATTAGAAAGCAACTCCAAATAAAATGCAGCTAGTAGGAGTAGAGGTGAATGCAAATTTCCAAATGGCTGTCCCCCTTCGGGGTTTGTTGCCGGTTTTCTACTTTACTTCTCAAATAATTTACTGGTGCTTTGAAAGCCTCTGATGGTGTTACAGCTGAAGTATTAATCAGCAGTTTACTGTTCCTGATTTGGGCCAACAGTGGAAACGCTAACTGGTTAATTTCTGACAAAGGTTGTAAAGAAAGGGCTCTGGAATGGGGAGCACAGAGAACTTCAGCTTTGCTTTTGGAGAGCAGTGAAGATTGCCTTGATGTACAACTGCTTTCATTACCAATTGGCAATGGGCCTTCAGCATACAAAGCTGAATCCATGAGTATGGAAGTAAAGCCATAATCTTGGATATGGGTATAGTCCTTGGGTATAGGACTTCGGCAACATATATGAATTAGTTAATTCAAGTTCTCCCACCTCCATTACTGTCCAGTGGCTGCAGATCTCTGCATTCGCTATTTACCTCGATACATATTGGGGCCACAATCTCATTATCACATGAGATTCTGAAAGATTTGCAGAAATTAGATTTATTCTTTCTTTCTCTTTTCTTTATATCATCTACAGTAACGAAGTCATGAAATCCTTACTTTAATCCCACTCTCATTTTGTCCCATCTTGCAAAATGAAGAAAAGCAAGTGGGACATCTCACGCTACAGCATATTTCCTGCTACCTTGCACCAACGCTCCAGTCTTCATCCTCAACACACTGCCCACCGCCATTTTTCAGTATGAAGAGCTCCAGTCTTTCTGTCCAAAGCCAGGCCTCCATATACTGTAGAAATTGAAGGCATTTAGCATGGCCTCCTCTACCTGCAATCAGGCAAGGAGTCAATGCTGAAGGTGGAGGTGCAAGGCCAGCCTCCAAGGCAGAGTCCTCTCTGGTTCCTAAATGTCTCTGCAAGACCTTTGTACCATCAGCCCTTACAGAACAAGAGTAAACATGTTTGCAGCAGCAGAGCTCTTTCACACTGCAAGAACTTGTCATAAGAAGTCACCTGAGGCACTGACACCTGAGAATAGCTACTTGTGCCCGACCTGACCCCCTGAGACCTGCACCAGCCTTCAGTACAAGAAGCATGGGGCTGCCCATGGGACACCAGAGCCTCTGCGAGCTGCTGGCGTGCATAAGACATTTCTGAGTCAGCCTTGTCTCTTGGGAACAAATGCTGCCTGCTGGAGCGTTCTGCAGAACTTCCTCCTTCTCATGGTAGGAAATATCCAAGACCATAGGATCTCCATTTGGACAAATGCGAGGAGCGACCTGTTCAAACGTAGCCGGCGAAAGCCAAGGCCAAGCATTTCAATGGCAACTATTTTCCTGGAGCACTGGCAGTGGCTGTTGGACCAGCACAGCTGTACTCTCAGAAATCAGGCATTTCGGATTTAGGTGCTAAACAAAGAACTTAAAAGCTTGAAGATGACTGGGGGAGGGAGAGGAGACAAGAGAGATTTCAGAAGGCATTTATGAGCTTGAAGTTAAAGATGGGAAAATGCTATTCATCAGGGACATGCAATTCTTGGAAAAATCCAGACTTAGTTATCTTACTTTTACCGAGCCTGCAGATGTTATTCTGACTACTTTTTTTTTTTTTTTTTTATTTAGAAATAGGATCGCATCTTCTGTAA